AATTAAATATCTAAAATATTTGAAAAATATATTCGAATATATTCGAAGATTTTTCTTAATTTTATTATTTTTCTAATTTTTATTATTATTATTAAAGATTAATATTTTTAAGAATTTTGAAAAATGAAATAAACTTAAATCAATACAAGAAAATATTAAAAAAAAATTAAGTTCAGTTAAAATTAAAATAAAAAAGTATATATAGACACGAAAGATGAGGCATTTAAATATGAACTGTGAACTGAGGAGGCAAACTGTAAGCCGTATAATTTTTCTAGCATTGCCAACACTATTTAAATACCCTTGCAGAATCTAGTTTACTTTGTTATTCAACACTGGCAGAGAGCATTCAAGAGGTCTCAGTGTAACGCGTTATTTTGTTTCACTTTGATTGCTCAGACTCTGTGGCAATAATATCAAATGCTACATCAAGGTTTCGTTTTCTTTTTCAATTTATTTTTGTTTTGCATCGGACAGCTTAGAGCAAACACCTTCACGGCGAACAAGCTCAAAGCAAAATGCAACCGAGTTGAGGACATTTTTAAGCTGACTGGGCGACGGTCTACTCAGGGTCAGGTTGCCTGCCTTGATTTATAGATTGCAGAAGTATATTTCTGAAGGAATTGACCACAAAAGCAATTTGTGGTTGCCGTAATAGTAGTTGAATGAATATTTCTAACTGAATTTCATTTGTTGTTTGCCGATTTTTGCTTGCGAGGAATTGTTTAGTGTGTCAAAAGCTCGCGGTTTGTGCAGCTGCTAAGCTTTATGCTAAGCTTTCTAGCTGCTTACACTGAAACATTTTCTGTAACTTTTGATATATTTGAATAGATTTAAAAATAATATATTTAACTGAAAGTGCGGAAAACTAAAAGTTAGTTATGTAACGCTTGTAAATATTATTAAAATATTTATATAGAATTTTAAAATAATTTAAAAAAACTTAAAAATTCTTTATATTTATATAACTGCTTCAGATCTTAGCATAAGTAATTTCTGAACTAAAAAATAAATTTATATTTTTCAATAAATAAATTTTTATTTCTCATCCATTTATATTCTTCTAGCTTTTACCTTTTAGAAAAGGCATCAAAATATTTACGATTTCAGACTTAAATATGAAGCGAAGTTTTCTAGCTCTAAGTCTCTGGACTAGTTAGAGAAATCAACTGAAGGAATAATAAAAGGCAAAATGATTTGTGTACATAAGAGCCCCCAAGGAGTGTATTATAACAGGTCTCTAGATCTCTAGACCATTGGAATAGAACGAGAGAGGTAGATATATATAGAAATTCAAAGAAAAATATACGAGCTAAATGTACATCTTAATGAAGTTATAAAGATATAATAGAACTAATTAATTAATGTAAATATAATTTAAATATATAAATAAAAATAGTTGAAAAAATATTCGAAACGTAAAACAGCAGTAGAACGACAGCTGTGAACTGAATCAACTTATTTAAGCCTTAAGTTATCCTACAAAAGTGAATAATTCCTTTTCACTCTGCTACGCTCTACTCATAGTTAAATAAATTGCTCTGATTTTTAGATATTCTTAAGCCTCTCTAAAGTTCTGTTCTGTCTTACATTACAATCTAAGACTTAAGTCTTACGTGCACTTGACCAGATCCTGCAGATCATCCTGGGTAAGAGCATATTCCGCATCCAAGACAGGGGATTTTCTCGGCTTGCGTCGTGTGCGATGCTTCCGTCTTGGCGCAGCCGAAGCACCGCCGACGCCTTTCAAGCTCATGGCCAGATTATCCGTGGACTGGAAGCTGGTTAGACCTCGACTCATGGTGGTTGCCACCACATCGGCCACGCTCTCGATGACACGTTCAGCCGGATATTTGGCTTTGCTTGGCCCACCGCCAGCGGCAGTTGCCTCATCCGCCTTCGTCCTCTCCGCATAGCTATCCCGCCGCCACGACGGAGTCAGAGTGCGTATCAGATTTTGAGTATCCGCATAGCCCTCGTAGTTGTAGCGCTTGCGTAGACTGAGACCGGAGAGGTATTCGAGCGTCTGCCAAACGTTCATCTTGTTCGAACCGTAGCGCGGCTCGGCGTCGACTGACCAACAATCGTTGCGTGCTATCCGCTGGGCGAGCAGCATCGTTACCGTGGCACATTTGTTGGCGCCCGCAGTCGGGGCGGGCAGCAGCCATTCGTTCGAATTGGAGCGCGCAACAGTGCCAGCTGTGAGTGGCATATGGATAACACGTTGTTTACGCCGGAGTTACGGGGTCACACACGTATCACACGTCAACGGCAATACCCTAGCCTAAAAGGCAAAGGGATATATTGCTAAGGTCACACAAGCACTATAAAATACCTCTGCTTTAGAGGAAACAGTGTATATTGGTGGGATGTAAATGCGTCTATCAGTTATCAAGGATAACACGTTGTTTGCAGCGGAATTGAGTTTATCCGTTATCCGTCTTGCTGCATGGATAACAAGTTTGTTGTATGTGATTAAAGCTTACAGGCCGGATCACGTATTAGATATTAGTTGCTATCCTCTTACCTCAAATTGAACGGGTATATTAGTACGCTGTTATACGTATAACAGTTGGCTCACGTCGAAATTGGAATCCCAGAGGAGTTTAGCTCACTTTTCGCTTACTATCCATACGTCAGTAATTTGTCTTTTGCTATCCGTTCGCCTATCCGTTCGCTCACTTCTGTTATCCGCATAAGTGCAAATTGCTATGGATATTTTGAAGCAAGTGTGCATACCCGAATATACCCTCGTTTTTATAGTTTTATGCCTCGACGAACGCAAATTGAAATGTAATTAAGTTTCTTTAAAAAACAAAGGGTAAACTTTGCTGCCCGTTGACGGGGTCAGGAGGCGCCTCTCGCGTGCGACGCCGCTGACGGCCGAACTTCGTTTGAGACCTGTAGCCAGAGCTGCCTAAACTGGAGCTGATGGCCCCCACCACTTAGGATGAGCAGCAGCAGCTGGCCCACAGTTGCGTGGCGCGTATCGTGTTTATTGTTTGCCATATGCAGTCGGGCGCGCAGTTGGGCTTGCTGTAGCCGCACCTCGCTCAGCTCAATTCGGTGCCATTAAAAATAATATCATTCTGATTGAGTGACGCTCCGCTTAAGTACTTTCTTTTCTATCCCGTACTGGGTACTGACACCATTTCCGCTTCATTTCCCTTTTATTTTCTATCGAACACGCAAAGTGTTTAGCCTACAATTGAAAGACCCCGACCCTAGCAGCCAAAGCTATTAGCGAAAAAGTGCTACGCAGCGATTGCTCTAATGTTGGGCCTTACACCTAGCAACACCTATGTGAGCCGCAGCTAATAACATTGAAATTTATTGTATTTTTTTATATTGAGAATTTGAGTTGGTTTGTAAATGTTTGTTTTCGGAATTTGGCTAAACTTTATAAGAATTCGAATAGAATCTTTTAGATATCTTATGCCAATTTAAGGTAGGAATCCGTAGGTTTATATAACTTTTGAAAATTTGATAGTTTAAAATATTTTTAAAATAAACTTGATTTTTGAGTTGTTCCAATACTGAACCAATTTTTAACTTTCCCAAATTCATAAAAATTAAGTTACAAGACAGTTATATAAGGTATAATTCTTGAACTTCGGGAGTTACTTAGCTTAGTTATATTTATTGAAACTTAAAAATAGTTCTCAACTATATTTAAAATAAGCTCAGCTGAGGCACTTGTTGTTTTCTGAAGTCTAAGCACAGCCTTGAGAGCACCGCTATAGCACTTGAGGCTGTCCACATGGAGCACACCAAGTGGTAATCGACCTATAAACAGAGCCTCAGACATTTTTACCAATTACTTGGCAAACTTTTGCTGACAGTCCGTCAATCAAGGCGCTTCGTTAGCATCGCGTGGCTGCAAGTGGTACATAAATCTCATGCCTTAAATATATATATATATATATATATATATATATATCAGTTGAACGAAAAGTCTTATCAATCGACTGATGCAATTGCCTGTTCGCATTGCTTGCAGCCGATTAAAGACACGTTCCCAACTTTAATTGGCACTTTGAATAAATAATTCAAGGCCTGCGACTCGTCATAGAGTAAATATTATGATATATGATGTAATTAGCATGCATATTAATCGGAATTGTTTCACTTAAGGGTTCCGACTTGACTTTGCTTATTTATTTTATAAAATTTATTGCATAAAATAAATGCAAATTTGTTAAATTTTTGGGAGAAAAAATAGTTGATAAACATAAATGGCACTCATCAATCAATCGTCAATCAGTCATTCATTTTGTTACAAATAGTAATTAAATTTAAAAATAACATTGATTATTGATCATTAGGTAGTCAATCAGTCAGTCAATCAAAGAGTCATTTATAGTTTATAAAGAGCGAATATTTGTTCATATCTCTCTCTACATTTCTCATCAATTAGAAAGTCAATCAATCATTCAATCATATAGAAATAAACTTTTTTTGAGCTAATAATATTTCTGCGAACTCCTTCTATCAGTTATTGCTTATAGAAAGACTATTGTTGAACAAAAAAGAATTAATTTAAACTTATTCAAGCAGTCAGTCAAGCAATCAATCAGTCAATCATTATATAGTCGAAGAACAGATGCTTAACAATATTGTAATGAAAGCTTTACTAAACGGTAGTTGATCTAAGCTCTTACAATTTGTGTTCCACGTCAATCAATCAATCAAACGTTATATACATAAGCTAGTAAAGTATTGCTGAACTGATATTATTTATTGATGGCAGTTCGACCCAGTGCAATGTGCAATTTTTATCAATCAGTCAGTCAATCAATCAACGCATATGTACATTTACATACACCTATATATAACACATAAGCTGGGAACTTTAATTGAATCAGAGTTCGTGTCAATGTTGCTTTAATCGCCGGCCACAAAGCGCAGCTGAGTCTAACCGCACGATAAACAAGGTGAGCCCTTATTCCGCATAATATTCACCCCCATCAAAATATTATAATAATATGAGCCATACTCACGCAACAACAACATCTGGATCCTCCCACCATTTTTTCTGCGTTGGCGCCAGCCGCAGACTCACCTGCCGCCAATGATTCTTGTGAACTACCTGATGTAACAAAAAATAATCGATTGGTTAATCGATTGGTCTAAAATGTTTGACGATTTTCCGACTTACCTTATACTTCTTGGGATCATAGGAATTCTGATCCTTGTCGGTAAAGACCAAACGCGCCATGTCCTTTGCCTCTATTTACACGTCTTCTAACTGATAAGTGTGTACCTATGTATATATCTATATATATGGAGATCTATATAATTGTGTACTTCTTACTCCAAACGTTTAACTTAAGATTTCATATATGACATATTTTTTAAGGGTGACCATGTTTAGATTTGAGTTTTGAGTTAACATTTCGATAGATATTTTGGGAAATAAAAATTGAGAATATAAATATATAGAAAATTTTGCAGTTTACCATATATATATATACATATATCATAAACATTCATTTCCATTACTCAATATATATAAACCATTAATAAATACCATAGAAGTATTATGCAAATCTTTCCTATGGATTACATAAGCACTCCATTAACTTAGCCTTACTCTAAGTGCAGCCAAGTCTGCTAATAGCTTTCCCTCAAGCATTTCAATATTAAAATAATTATCAGCCTCAGGTATTTGTATGGCTATATAACAAATGCCATAGTCGGCAATTTAATATCAGAGCAAACACTTTAAAAATGCTGATGAAATATAAACTATATTCAACATAAAATACCAAGACTCGAGCAGTAACAATTGTTTTGAATGCTTGCTATTATTGTAATAGATTATGCCCATTGAAATTGGTTTAACGGGGTGTATTAGTTTTAAAAAAATGAAGGCTAATCTTTAAATTTAAATTCGTGCTGGCGTTTCTTTAAAATCGATAAATATCGATTGTCATTATATCAGTTTATATCAGTTCTGTCCACGACATTTTAAGTACTATCTTTAACAAATTTGTAAAATTATATTTCGCATATAATTTAAATATATATTGTGTACTTTTCCTAAAAATCGATAAATATCGATTACTACTATATGTTGATTAGGCCTTTCTGTGAAGCACTAGCTGACATTGATTTATATAATTTAAAATACAATTTTATTTATCGATAACTTTATCGAAATTTATCGATATACAGATTAATTTTCACAACAAAAACTAGCCAAGCTAACACCATTTCACTTAATACAGGGCAGCTACTGGTCGAGCAGTCTACCGAGTTACTATTGTCGCCATGTGGTACAATTGATAGGCGTTACGAGTACAAGCCCCACACATGTCGCTGATATATTGTGTGTAGTGTTTGAGTTGATTGAGCGAACCAAATGGAGGCTGCTTTGACCGCGCCATGTCTTGGACTTGTTTGTGGCGTTTATCGTGGAACTGGAGCTGTCAACTGCTGTGGCTAATTGTGACCTAGGCGAAGGTCAAGAGGGGGGAATATCGTTGCCATATAGCTAATCTGTCCAGTTTCCGCATTACCTGCATTGTCCGAGAACTGGAATTGGCCAGGGCGAAAAATCTGTCTCTCAGAATTCGTGCGCTATAAAAGGCCAAGACCTGAGAGCAGCTGTCAATTAGTTACGTTTCAAGCGTTGCAGCAAACACAGAAAAGCTAAACATGAAGGTGAGGCGGCAGTTAAAGATTGACAGTCCGTAACTGGGCTCGAAAACTTATCCCAGGATTAGCAAAAAGTTGAAGTATTCATCCAAGGATTGGCAGCAGATAGCCGAGTCAAGAATTTGTCTCTGGTCTGGAAACTGGTTTGGGTGTGAGACAAGGATCAGCAACTCAGTTTCTGAATTAAGAATTTATCGAAAAGCTAGCAGTATGCAGGTTAAGGTTTCTATAAGATATATCTGAGAGTTAGCAACTGCTTTTAGACTTTAAGATATTTAAGGATACTTAAAATAATTTAAATTTCATATTTATTTCACTTGCAGTTCGCCGTTGTCGTAGTCTTGTTCGCTTTGGCCTGGGGTGTCAACTGCTCGGTGGTGCCTTTGATCAGCGCTGGTCATGGACCAGCTTTGCTGCTCAGTGCTCCCGCTGTGGCTGGCTCAGTGGCTGTTCACGCCTCCGCCGTGCCCGCTGCAGTGCCCGTTGCCATTTCACCAGCTGGACCCATTCTGGTGCAAGGTGCTGTCGCTCATGCCTCGCCTGTTGTGGTCGCTGCTCCCGCACCAGCTGTGGTAGCCGTTGCTGCTGCGCCTGCCTCGTATGTGGCCAAGACACGTGGTGCCGTTCATGTTGCTCCACTGCCCGGACATGTGCAGAGCGCCGCCTCCGTCAATCTGGAACCCGCACCAGGCACCTTGTAAAAACGTCTCGAAATCGACCTTCACTTGGCTAACACACTCGCTAAACAGACCTGCCTTTGACCCTGCCATCGCCTTCGTTTTGTAGTTTATAAATGTCCTTTTGTTTATTTTCATTTTCTTGAAAGATTTTCCTACTCCCACTCACCCGTTGCAATTCGGGTGCTCTGCTATCTAAGTCATCTATCTATCTTAATAGTCAGCTCTTCTCCTATGCTACTGATTCTGGTCTATACTTTATGTACATCTATATCTTTAACGATCTGTTAACCAAATGATATCCGATCATGCACCCACTGTTGTCATATGGAAAATTGTTTCAAAATAAAAATATATGTTTAAAATCAATATCAAAATAGATTTTTTCCTTAATTTAGAGATTTATGAAATGAAGAAAATGTCTTGAGTAGTTATTACTATTCTTTATTTTAGATTGATTGAGTAAAAATAAAAAATAAAAAAAACTTAAATTATTTTATTGCTTAGGAAAATCGTTATTGGTGAAATAAATTTAATATATAAATCAGTATATATTCCAACTGATGTAGATATATATCTTACTATATTTTACATGTTTTCAGAATATATTTATTTATACAAGTATTATTATCTATGTACTCTCATAAACATTTCCTTTAAGTAACTGGTATACTTAGGAAATGTAAATAAAATAAATGCAATTAATCATTTCGACTTACAGATCAACAGATACAGGGGTGTTGACCACAACCCACACAGTTAACCAACTTAACTTGTTGCCAACAGTCAATTATGCAGCTAGTTGAAATCGAAAGTTATATGAACTAAACTGGAGCAGGGCCAGTTGACCCTGAATGATCAGCACACTTGCAACTGTATAATATGGAGAAAAAAAATCTGCCTTATGCTTCAGCGTTTCGCATGCTAATTCTTAAAATGTCTGAGGTAAGCTTTAGCTGTTGTTCAGCTGTCATGTTGGCACTTAAGCCCACTAACTGTTGCCCATAAATCTTGAATGGCCAGTTTGCTAACGTACAGCTGGAACTGTAGCAGTAGCTAATCATTTTATATCAATATATCAGGTTTATGTAACGGTTTTATTAAAGATAATTTAAAATGTATTTTTAGTTTTTAATAAATTAGTAAGGGCTACTTAAATGTTAACGTAATAGGTATATTAAGTGATATCTAATGAGTTCAAACTTGTTAAATTTGTCTATTATGACAATTATCGACTGCATTCATTAAAGCCGCTAATTTCCAGCTTATATCATAGCTATTAGCTATTAGTCTACTTAAATAATTAAAATAGTATTAATTTGATGTACACGTGAATTAAAAGTTAGTTGCACAATAAAAAGTCATTTTGGCTTTTAAATAGTTTCAATTTATATTTCCTGTGTTAGAGGCGTACAATTTAGATCATTAATTCAAATGCAAATATTGATTAATAACTGCCATATTTATCGAAATATTTTTTGTGGAACTAATTTACTTGTTTTAGCACATGTAATCGATACTTAGCAATGTCACCCATATCGATATTCAATTAATAACGACTTATCCAGTGTACTAAACTATCGACGAGTGAATTAGAGTTTTGACCCAATTTATTTATTTTAGAAGGCATCGGTGCACTGCAGTACCATATGAGTACATAGGTCACAACAGTCGGCTAACTTAACTGGCTCTGTCATCAATGCCAGTAAGCTGATAGCCTGTTAAGTTCAAAATTACGCCAACCTGGCAGTTCTTGTCATAAAATTACATTACGTACATCAAATATTTATAAAGATTTTTATACTTTCATATGCGTTTCTTGTAATTAACTTGTCAATTCCAATTGTATATGTTTGAATTGCTTAAAATTAACACGCAGTATTGTAACATCGCGCTGTTATTAACAGCGGATTGTTGATGTTAAGTACTTGAATGCAAAAACATATGTTTTTACACCGCAAACGGAATTTGGTTATCAATTTTTGCAAGTGCATTAAGTAAAGGGCTGCGCGCCCACAAAAAAGGAGATAATAATAATAGTGATAATAATAATAATGGCTAATAAGTTTAATGTAGTGCCTGCTGGCATGGAGTCTGACGAAGATGAACTTGATTGCATGCTGGCACATTTGAAGATTAAGCGATTAGAAGATATTACAACGGGTAGGAAGAAGGAATTCTTACTGCAGCACATGGAATTGTTTATTTATGTTGCTGTATACCTTTTCGAACGTCATCTTTAGGTGCTGGCATCGATGGCGACTTTGACGCCACCTTGGACGAAGATTTCCAAAATTTCTTTACCGTCTTTCGTGAGAAATGGAATATGCACAGCAAATGCAAGTCTTCGCCATATATGAGACAGGATTTGATCAAAGCGCTAATGCGGCATCCCAATCCCTTGCTAATGGCACTCAAAATCTTTGCCAATTGCCCAGACAGCAGCAATGTTAAGAACAAAAGTCTATCGCACTTTGTGCTGGACACCGTTTGCAAACTTCAGGTGGATTTACCACACCTGAGCGAGCTATGCGATGAAAATACCAGCATGATTGCCTTTCATTTTGTTAAAACAACGGGATTGCCTTCACTAAATAATGCCATGGTCCAAGCATATCGCATACACCAAATCAGGGAGCTGCTCGTACCTAAATTAAAAGAGATGCTCGACGAAGGGTACTACAAGGAGGTGGCCCAGTGGACTCTCTATTTGCAGCTAACTCAACAATTTGATATGCTTGAATTGGCGTTCCCTTTAATAGCGCAGGAAAAACTACCATTAGCCGAAGAGTACCTGGATCAGGCAACGCAGCAGCGATTGCCTTTTGTACAATTTCTTGATTCGCTGCTGCACAGGGAGAAATCCGTCATCGAGATGTGTGAACAGACATTGAGGTAAAAACTATGTGCTATGCTTGTGTAATACAGGGTGTGTCCTACAGTGTTTGTTTCTATACGCTGAATGGAGTGAACAGTAAACAAACAGCAAAGAGTGTGACAGGTCCCATAAATGATATATATATGTCTGGCCTGTCTTCTATATATATAAGCATTATTAGGGTTAACAGCCTAGCCGATATGCCCTATGTATCTATACCGAAGACACTTGATACTTAGGTCCTCTAATAGCACGTGCCGATCACTTTCAAATCATCGATAGCTTTTTCATTTACTATGAAATCGATTAATGTCTAAAGCCTTTCTCTTTCACAGTCGCTATAAGAATCTTAAAGTCTCTCATCACGTGCTCAGCTATCGTCCTGTGTCGAAGATCGTCGCTCGCTTGGCTAAGAAATATGGATTTGACGATACCGTAACGCCCAATTATAAATTTACAAAGACCTGCAGCTATCTACATTACCTGTACCGTGAATATGAGAAGCAAAGGATAAATATAGCCAGCTTTCGGGAGCTGGTTAAGGTCCATGCCTCGGATTATGCGCTGCGTGTGGATTTTGTTAACTATATTGCAGCTGCCTCGATAAACAGTCCCTACGAATCAGAAGCCATCTATTGGTATAATGAATTTAAGATTCTCAACGAACATTGTCCACATGAAATCAAATCGTTAATCACACAAAACTCGGATACGCAAGCCTGTCGAGTAGTTGAAGAGCAATCAACAGAGTCGATCCCTTGTGAATTGTACCTGGGCATGGATCTGCCAGAAGAGTGCCTCATAATAGTAGATTCCTCTCCAATCTTTAACCATATGCTACAGCATTTGCAGCGTGAGCAAATCATCTACCTGGACTCTGAATGGATGCAAAGTGTTTGTGCGCAAAACCAACTTTGTCTACTGCAAATTGCGACCACGTGCAATGTGTACCTAATTGATTGTTTGGCCAGTCGACCAGCCCTGGAGGAGCAACACTGGCGTGCGCTGGGCGCCACGGTCTTTAACAATCCCAACATACTCAAAGTGGGCTTTTCCATGTTGAATGATTTGTCGGTGCTCCAACGTTCTTTGCCTCTCCAGCTGCGCCTCCATATGCCGCATCATTATCTCGATCTACGGAACGTTTGGCTAGAGCTAAAGAAAAGGCAAGGAGTCGAACTACCGTTTGGAAATGTAAATCGTGCAGGAGATGCACTCACAGATCTTTCTATGTTGTGCCTAGGCAAAAAGCTGAACAAAGCGAATCAATGCTCAAATTGGGCAAATCGTCCTCTTCGCAGAGAACAAATACTTTATGCAGGTGGGAACTTTATTGTAATCTATTTATAGGTTTTTTCTATCTAAAAGTTGGTCTGTTTTATAGCTATTGATGCTCGTTGTTTGCTGTTGATCTATGCGTGCCTCTCCAGCTGTGTGCCGGACATTAATGTTATTATTGAAAAATGCATAGCTAGCAATAATTTTTTGCGACGCGGCGGGCACAATCTGAAATAGTAGAAATGAGAAATCTCGGAAGCAGATACATCTGTACATGGAATATGCGACAACTATGTTAAAGTTATGAGAGTATTTGAATTATATACACACACATATACATAAACATACATATATACAAATACATATATGTATAAATCATAGCAAGTATTAAACTGACTTTGACTTTAATTTAACATAAGTTTAGGAAAAATAGAATACATTTACATGCTTAGTTAGGTTTTATATTTATTAACCGTTGAATTTAATCGTGTTCAGTAATTTAACAAAACTCAGCTCTTATCAATCAATCTCTCAATCATGATTAGATTATCTGGCCAACGGAGCAGTTATAAACAAAATTCTGTCATCAAAATATTTAACTTAAATGATATGAGGTCATCTAACTTGCGTTCTTATGCAACGGTAAAAGTAAGTCAAAATGCCTGGAACTAGTTTTCATAGAAAAAAGGAAAATACTTGGGCATTTTGCTTAGATTAATATGTGAGCATATGTGCTATTCCAATCCCTATCAAAAACGCCTTCCAAATCCTTGCGTATGGAATCCGACATTGCGGGAAGGGTATCCTTCAGAACCAAGCCAACGCCCGCTGTGGTTTCGAAATAATCGCCTGACCAATTGGAAGTTCCTATATAGGCAACTCGATCAGTTACCATGTACTTATTGTGATTGACGCGTGCATAGGGTATGCGTTCCTGATTCTGATCAGCGGGCACAATAAAATGACGCTGCAAGAGGGACAAGTGATTAGTATAAAATTGAGTTCTCTAAAGTTCCATAATTACAATTTGTATGTCCACATGGCGATGGGACATGGTTAGATCCTGCAGGGAGCGCAAATAGTTGTCCATACTTTTATCGGAATGCTTCCACCAGGAGATGAGCATTTTAACAGCAACTCCTCGTTCCACAGCCGCTGTGCGCAACGCATTGTCGATCGCAGACCAATATTTTATCCTGGATTCAAACATCGTCAAAGGATAATAGTCCATAACAGCTATATGTACGAATTTAAGAGCTGCGTTAATTGTATTTAGAATAGCATCCAGATCGTGAGTGCGTCCATCTGCAGAGAGTGGAGGCGGTGAACTAGATGCATATGCCTGCATTATAAATGCACCATTCACATTTAATAACATTGGCTGTTCCGAATTGTAGATAGTCTTATATTCATATGGCCATGAATTTGGTACGCGTGCATTTGGATTGCTGCCCAAATACCAGTAGGCTTTAAATATCTTAGCCAAATCGGTAGTCAGTTGTGGACAATTCTGACCTAGGACGCCCATCTCCTTGATCTGGGTTAGAGCCCGCCAATCCATGTTTGCGCTGCCCAAATAGAAATGCTTCCCATCCACAATCCAGAGCTTTGTGTGCAGTATGCCACTGCCAAAGTACTTGGGAAAATCAAGAGTAACTACCTCGGCAGCTCCAAAGCTGGACAGGAGTTTCGTATCCATATTTGGAGAAACGCTCGACGGCGAGCTCTGTGCAATACGTATCTTAATCTTTGAACCAATGTCTTTTCCATTATCTAGCATCCGCTGAAATATCTCCTCTCCAGGCTTTGCGCTGCTCTCGTTTATTCCAACATCCTCGCCCCGCATCGTCCAATAAAAGGAGCCAATGTCCAATGAAGTTTTACTTAAATCCAAAAGTTGTTGCCACGCCTCGATGGTGCTCATGAACTTTGGACTATTGGGCGTATAGTTTAGGCCAATGGGTATCGATTCAACTAGTGTTATATTGCAATCATATTTGGTATCATCATGTGGAAGTTCCTTGGACTTAAGCGCAAAAGGCTTTGGATGAAAAACAGAACCGGCTAGAAATAGCAGCAGGAATGTGGTCAAAAGGAACATTTGCAACGCATGCACATTTCCTCTTTGCATATTCCTATCCGAGGCGTTCTCGACTTCGTCCTCATGGTTGACCAGTGGGTGAGGCTTATACATTTTACGAATTTTAGTTAATGTTTTTTATTAGATCTTTTAATCAGTTTGCCCACCATGTCCTTATCGCATGAGAAATAACTAATTAGTGTTGACAGTTATCCGATCACTTATGCGCATCGATATCTATCGATTGACCCTCAACTATTTCCAGCCAATATTTGCAAATTCTGGGTTTTTGAAATCTCTAACCGAAATGTCAGTTGTTGGAAACCTGATTATTATTAAAAGTCAGTGAAAGCTTGTCAGAAATCAAAAAACTACTTATATCACTTTCGTAAATTTCATGTAAGCTTTGGCTTATATTGGTAAAGATTCCTTAATGATTTAATTTGCTTAATCATTATTTAAGATACCTTCTTTGTTCTTTATGTATGATTTTACTGGGAACGTGATATAAAAACCCATAAAGAAAATAATTTATTTAAAAATTTAAACTTTTTTATGATAACTTTTTATCGTCATTCAGTTACATCTATTGTTATCGGTTACCGGCTCTCAATATCGAGTATCCAAACATTTTAGGCCACTTCTAGCACAATAAAAACAAAAACAGCTGATTTTTAAAGTTCAAGCGAGAAAATGATGCGAAATTTGAGCTTATTAAAACGAAGCAAGTATGTGTATCACAACTAAATTAATTGCAAATAATCATTATTTGTTCACAGTCTGCTGGCAAGGAATGTCAGCTTAGATGCTGGTTTAGGTACTGACTGTAAGCAACAAACAGCTGAAACAATTCGCGAAGTGAGGCACCATGAAAACTTGGCTGCCAACTGGTGGAATAAAAAAGGACAAATGGCAGCGCTGCATGCTCTAAATGAAATTAGGTAAATAAGTCATAAAAACAGTAAAATACAGTCATTCAAAGATCCTTCATAGAGTTCCACTAATACGCGATGGAATTGTGGCCCGCGGCAATGTAAATTCTCGTTATATAAACACAACAAAAGTGTTGAGTGGACAACGCTTATTGGAGGTTGGCTGTGGAGCTGGCTTATTAACCGAACAACTTGCTCGTCTGGGCGCTCAAGTTACAGGCATCGACCTTGGCGAAGAATTGATAAAAACAGCAAAAGAGCATTTAAGCAACTGCAGTGCAGAACTCACTGATAGAGTCCAATACAAAATGGAACCAATTGATCAGCATGTCAAGGCGAATTTGGAGAGCTATGATGCTGTCATTGTGTCTGAAGTTCTAGAGCATGTTGACGATAAGGCGGCACTACTAAGCGCTTGCGTAAAGACGCTCAAACCAGGTGGCTCCATATTCATAACTACCATGAACAAAACCATACCCATGTGGATCGGTGGCGTCGTGCTTGGTGAATATGTTCTAAATATAGCACCAAAAGGCACTCACCATTGGGAGAAAATGATTGCGCCATTGGATGTGCAGCGCATATTGGATACAAGTAAGCGATATATAAAGAAAATATTAACAAATTTTTTATATTTTCAAAAGAAAAAACATTTTAAAATGTTTATTCATCCATTTTTTGGTTTTAATATATAACTAATCCAATGTCCTTGCAGTGAATTGTCAAACGGTGCTCGTTAATGGCAGCACATACGACTTTTGTCGTAACACTTGGCGCTGGATCAACTCCACACAGCTGTGCTATGCACTGCAGGCTGTTAAACAGATTCCAACTGAATCCAGCTGAGCAAATTTATGTTATATTTAGAAATAAGTCACTATGTCATATGCTTATAAAGTTTATTTAATCCTCGTCATCGTCGGCTCGCGGTTTTTTAAATTGTCCTTTCTTTTGCCATTTTGGATTGCCATTATTTGATTTGCGCTTGTTGAACTCATTCTTTGTGGCGAACTTCTTATTCATAGTTTTGCACACGGCTGGCGCTTGATTCGCATAATAGGCATCAGCCATTTCCTGATCATTGACTTCCTTTGGCTGCTCTGGTCTGGTATTGCCTTGCTTTTCGGCTTGTTCTAACTCCATTAGGCGCTCCAATTCCGGATTCATACCACGAAAGCTAAGACGTCCATCGATTAGTCCCGCGCAAATGGTATAACTTGGCTCGATAATATAATTGGAATTACTATTAAGCATCTTCTGATTTAGTTCATTGGAGTACAATGCGCGGCTCTGTTCGTCATCGTCTTCTTTGGCTACTTTCACTTTGGTGCGTTGCATGAATTTCATGTCCAACAAGCCACGGGAAAGTCTTGGTTTTGTTTTGGAAGGCATTGTATAGTTTAAACAATTATTTAGAAAAAGTTTGAATGAAGCTCTACAGTGCACGCTGTTTCTGTACAGAATATCTAAGCAAAACAAACTTACAAAAATAGTGATGGGTAACACCTGAACAGTGTTGAAAAATACAAATGTTTCGATGCCATGTGGGCGCGCATGACTCGTTTAAAATAGGGATTGTGAATGCATGGTGCAATCAAATATACAAAATATCGGTTCTTCGGGTGAAAACAATAACAACTTGAATGTAATTTTATTGTGTAGGAACTATACGTGGTATGTATAAAGATATATATGGACGCAGATGTATTAATTCAATTTGTGAAATACAATAGCATTTGAATAAAATTAAATGTCCCGAGAGACCTGCAGTGGAAACTATGATCAAAATATAAAAGCCTTCCCAATACAGTTTATTTGCTGAAAAAAAAAGTAAGCCGCGCCACATATTAAAATTACTTTTAATCATGTTAAAAAGATTAATTGTGACTATTGCGTGACACGCAATTAAAGCAGCTGTAAAAGCGCGCCTCTCATATACACACATGGCATTCAGTAAAAGCGTGCCTAACCAAGATACGATTTGTCTCAAATGCTCAAAATGCAAGTTATCTCGCAAAATAATAGCAAATGACTGTATAAACCTAAAAAAGGCATACGATTAAATAAAAAGCATGTTTAATTGATCGATAGCTCTTGTGACTGTTTCGATAAATTGGTACAGCTGCACACTGTATATGTAGTATACATTAGAAAAACTGCGATGTGAATAGCACAATTATGCTAAACTTTTTTGATTTGATATATTATAAAGATAAATTATAAAATAAACAATTGTATCTGTTTCAGAAAAGCATTTAGAATTAATTGCGCCAACCTTTTTGTGCTGGTATTGGTGGAGGTCGGTCGATAAATTTCAAATTAACACCCCTGATACGCAGTGCTGGGAGAATGAAAAAAGTGACATAAATGGCGGAATTGTGCTCAAGCGCCAACATTTGTATTTAATTGAGATTTATAATAAAAATAGAAGAATATTATCGTTGTTGAAGCACCCCACATATCAATAAGGCCAGCAAATTGAACATTAAACATCGAGCCGAGATTTATATTTAAGTAGCGCGCCATGTACAAGCGTAAATCTGGTGGCCAAGTAACCAGGCAGCGGATCATCACGGCCAGCAGCAGCAGCCCCGATGACAATGATGACACTGCCAGCGGCCATGAGATTAAATTGGACGCCAAAGCCTACGGTACTTACCACATTGACATGGCAATGGACCAACAACAAGAACAAAAATCCAAAATTCTAATACAACAACAACAACCACACAGTCAACAACAGCGCTCGGTGGGCTCGTTGGTATTGTTGACCCAAAAATTTGTGGAGCTAATGAAACAGAATGGTGGCTCCATTGATTTAAAAGAGGTGCGTAACATGGGCTCAACAAATGCATCCTAAAATTGTTATATTTCTGTTTTTACAGGCCACCAAAATCTTGGACGTACAGAAGCGGCGTATTTATGATATCACCAACGTCTTGGAGGGCATTGGCCTGATTGATAAGGGCAGACACTGTTCATTAGTGCGTTGGCGGTAAGAAGAGCAATTAAAATAAGCAACTGTTCGACTTAATCGAATGTCCTTCTAAACTATTATAATATTTGTATATATGATGTTAGACTAAGCCAAAATCTCATTAGCTTAGTTCATTTATCACTCCATTTGAGGTAATTTATACTACTTTCCTCTTTAGCGGCGGAGGTTTCAACAATGCCAAAGATCATAAAGAGTATGATGTAGCCTGCGAGCGAACGAATCATTTAAAAAGTATAGAGGATGATTTAGATAGACAATTGGAGTATGCACAACGTAATCTACACTACATAATGCAAGATCCAACAAACCAGTCGTATGCGTATGTTACGCGTGATGATCTACTTCAAATATTTGGTGACGATTCCGTTTTTACCATACCCAATTATGATGACGAAGTGGAAATTCAGCGCAGTGATGTATGTAGACCTTATTTATTTCGCTCGTGTGTATTTTGTATGTTTATATTTTACATTTTTATATAATTAAGCACGAGCTTCAAGTTTCACTGGATAATGGGAGCACAATAGACATACGTTTGGTCACCAACCAAGGCAAAGGAACAACAAATCCAAATGATGCGGATGGTCCGTTCGATGATCGTTACTCGGACTCACCTTCTCCATCATCGTCGCCAACACATTCTTCCAGTAAAACCGGCAATGGCACTGGTAATGTCATTCAGGATGAGCATACGTACTCGTGTAATCCCGAACAAAAGGAAGAGAAGGCGTTGGAAAATGAGCGTACAGCGAAAGTAATCTTTCAAAATTATATGGCTGGCCACTCACTGAGGCGCTTCTATCCCGATGATCCCAATTTAGGTAGCTTGTGGAATTATATTACTTAAGCATTGAAGTGTAAAACCATTATACTCTTTTATTCTAGAAAATCCACCTCTTGTGCAACTAAATCCTCCACAAGAAGACTTTAATTTCGTTTTAAAAAATGACGAAGGAATCTGCGAACTATTTGATGTACAGTGTTAGGGACAATTCGCGATTGTAATTGGCCGAGTGCGTTGTGCAAATATTTAAGATTAGTAAAATTTTGACCTTTAATATTGTTTTATAATGTAGACATTTTAAATTAGATTAATTGTAAAGTACATTACAGTTGGGCCAATAAAATACGTCGATGCGTATACAATGTATATACACACATATACATATGAATGTCTCACGCACTATTTAAATATATACAGACATTTAACTTTATTAGCATAACAAAAACCAAGTATATCTGGTTTTAATTATCAATCTGAAAATTAAAACAAATGGCGCGCTTTCATTTTCTCATATAACATCTTTATTTACTTTTTTATTTGCTGGCACAGGCCATAATTGTATCGATAGAATGTATGAAATCTATCGATCAAAACAATAAACAAAAAACCATGCAATTATTATTTTAATACATTAGTTATCCATATTTTATATTATACAATTTTAAAACAGTTGCTAGTATTTGAAATATCTTTTTTTCCAGAAAATTATGAACAGTTTATTTAGATGGAGAATCGGTTTTTTCATTTACATGAAGTACTCATTAGCCCACCCTATACGCAACAAAAAGGTTAAATTCGATAATTTTGTGAATATAAATATCGATAAAAAAAACGCGTTATTTGCCCTAAAAAATACCAAAAAAAACCCTGCTCTGCTTCTTGATACTTTTTCACATTTACCACGCAGCAAACATTGTGAATGACAAACCGAAAGGAGTGTAAAAAGAATTATTAAAATTTGCAATTTGTGTGAAAAGCATCGAATTGGCTGCCGCAACAAAACGACCGGTACTCGTACCAAAACGTTAAACCCATTAAATCATATAGCAAAATAGTGAAAATATGAATGTTCCTCCTAGCGCTGGCAATGGCAATGCAGCTCTGCAGCAGCCGATGCCGCCAGCAGCAGCCGCCGCTGCCGCCGCCGCAGCAGCAGCTGCAGCGATGGGTGGCATGGGATACACGCACCCCCACACGCACACGCATACGCCGGGCATGGTGCCAGTGCCACCATTTAATTTGCCTCCACCAGGCTTTGGAGCACCGCCACCGCCTGAACTGGCTGCCGCTTTTGGTGCCCTTGCTTCGAATACGGAATGGACGGAACACAAAGCGCCGGATGGACGCCCGTATTACTATAATCAAAATACAAAGCAAAGTTCGTGGGAGAAACCGGAGGCTCTGATGACACCCGCCGAGTTGCTGCACAATCAATGTCCATGGAAGGAATATCGGTCAGATGCCAACAAAGTTTACTATCATAATGTGAGCACTAAAGAGACGTGCTGGGAGCCACCGCCAGAATATTTGGATATGAAGGCCAAAGCTAAGGCGGAAGAGTAAGTATTTACTGCATATAATAAATATACCAAATCTGACGAGAATTGGGTAAATCTCTTTGCAGAGCAGCTGCTGCGGCTAAAGCTGTGGCTGCAATGACCTCGTCCAGTTTAGCTGGCATGGTACCACATGTGGCATTGGCCAATATGTTGCCTGCAGCATTGCCCACAGTACCGCGAATACCTACACCGGAAATTCACTCACCTCTGACGCCGAGCAGTAATGAAAATAGTTCTTCAGCCATGGATCAGGCAATGGCTGCCACGCTAGCATCCATCGAGGTGCCTCAGCAGAATAGTAAGTAAACAAAGCATAGATATCAACCAATATTAATATAAATCTATATTTAGATAAGAAAGATGACAAAAATGGCAGCGAAAACAATGCTCTCGTCTTTAAAGATAAACGCGAGGCAATTGAGGCCTTCAAGGAGCTGCTGCGCGATCGTAATGTGCCCTCCACTGCTAACTGGGATCAGTGTGTGAAAATCATATCAAAGGATCCTCGATACAATGCTTTTAAAACTCTTAATGAACGCAAACAGACCTTCAATGCGTACAAAACACAAAAAATTAAAGATGAACGGGAGGAATCTCGCTTGCGTGCTAAAAAAGCGAAAGAGGATTTGGAACAGTTTCTTATGTCGAGCGACAAGATGAATTCGCAAATGAAATACTTCCGCTGCGAAGAAGTCTTTGCCAACAATCGAACGTGGACAGCAGTGCCCGAACAGGATCGTCGCGATATTTATGAGGATTGTATCTTTAATTTGGCTAAGAGGGAAAAAGAGGAAGCACGGCTCCTAAAGAAGAGGAATATGAAGGTACTTGGCGAACTGCTGGAATCAATGACCTCCATTACGTACGCCAGCACGTGGTCGGAAGCGCAGGTTATGCTTCTTGATAATGCAGCGTTTAAAAACGATGTCACACTGCTTGGTATGGACAAAGAGGATGCGCTCATAGTATTCGAGGAGCATATACGTACACAAGAAAAAGAGGAGGAAGAGGATCGGGAAAGGGAAAAGAAACGGTTAAAACGACAACAGCGCAAAAATCGAGATGCGTTTCTCGCATTGCTGGATGCTCTTCATGAAGAGGGCAAACTCACCTCAATGTCGCTGTGGGTCGAACTATATCCAATTATATCGGCCGATATACGCTTCTCTGCTATGTTGGGTCAGAGTGGATCCACACCTTTAGATCTTTTTAAGTTCTATGTAGAGAATTTGAAGGCTCGCTTCCACGACGAAAAGAAGATCATCCGTGAAATACTCAAAGAGAAACAATTTGTTGTACAAGCGAAAACATCCTTTGAAGATTTTGCCACAGTTGTATGCGAAGACAAACGTTCCGCCAGCCTGGATGCGGGCAATGTGAAGCTCACCTATAATTCGCTGCTAGAAAAAGTAAAATTCTACAGAAATCAAAATAAAAACATATGTTTATATATTTTTATATCATTTGCAGGCCGAGGCCATTGAAAAGGAACGCATGAAAGAGGAGGTGAGACGTTTGCGTAAATTAGAAAATGAAATAAAAAACGAATGGTTGGAGGCGAATGTCTCGGTCGGCGAGCCTTACGACAGTGCCAAAAAGCTAGTCGAGCATTTAGAAGCGTTTGCCTTATATGAAAAAGAAATTGGTGTTGAAAAGATTTGGGAGGACTTTATCAAAGAGAGCGAAGATGCCTGTAGTCATCATCATTCACGTTCACGTAAATCCAAAAAGAACAAAAAGCATAAAAAACGTGTGAGGTCTACATCTAGATCTGATATTGAAAATGAATTGGTTGAACTAGAGAAATCTAAGAAACGACGCTCCAAAACACGCTCAGTAAGTTGATAAAAAGTTACCTTTAATCATTTAATTAACAGCTGTTTTTTATCACTTAGAATTCGCTGAGTTCAATTGGCAGCATTGAGAGTGAAAAGCTGTTAAAAAAGAAGAAAAAGCGCAAGAACAAATCAAGAGCTGTAAGTATTTGAAATGCATTTGCTTTTAACTTTTGCTAACATTTATTTTTTCAGTCTTCTTGCGAATCGGAGTTGATCAATCAATCGCCTCTCAATGCTGCTGCACTGCAGCAAAATGATTCAAATTCCCACTCACCCGCTAAAAAGAAGAAAAAAGAAAAACGCACCAAAAGGGACAAAGAAAGCAAACAACAACGACATCAAAATAATCGTTCAACAACGCCGCTTAGTCCTGCAGCTCAATCCGATTCGGCAGCATCTAGAAACGAGGAACTTACGCTGAGCGATGGCGAACTAGAATCCAAGCGTGCAGCGCTGCTGGCACAGCTCAATGAGCATTTGGACGAATGACCAAGATATTATAGATAAACGGACCACAACAACAGCAGTAAGCACAGTTAGCTATGGCCATAAATAAATACACAAGGAGTGTGTGCCTAGTTGTATAAGTTGTATAAAACATACGTTCATTTAGCTACAGCTACATCTATAGTTTGTACACGCTATAACGTATTTCTACTATTGCACAGCTCCTCACGTGCTTTGCTCTGGAACACTTTTTGGCTACAAATCGCAAACACAACAGGCAACAAAAAATGTAAGTTTTTTCATCAGCGCTAAGTTTCATTGTAAAGAAATTTTAATAATATAATAATTTTATAAGACATCAAACAAAAGAAATAATATTATTGGCACCTTGTGTGAACAACAAATCGAAAGAGTTATTCATTTATTCAAAGGACAGTTTGTGACCTTATTTTTTATTAAACTTGTGCAAAGAATTTAGATACAATTTTTGTGCTAGCATCGATAGGTAGAATGGGCCAATTTTGGAATTTCTCTAAAATGTCAAACTAATTGCTAAACTCTCTGCGCTGGTTGAACCGTACTGTTTTTAAATTTTTCCAATCATGGTTGTCTCTTAACCTACAGTTAAATAATAGTAAATGCTGTTGAAATCAGTTTTAAAATGTTTACTAGTATTTTGTTTTTAATGACATTCTTGAATCTTAGCAAAGAACTTGTACTAAAACTTGAATTCCTTGTACTTCTTGGTGGTCTTAGCCGGATCAGTTTGCTGCCGCTTGCGTTTAGATTTCTGTCGAGCCACATGCTCAGCCAACATGTCTGATAGATCCTCCTTTTGCAGATGATTCTGTTGTTCGCGCATTTGTTGCTCATAACGCTGAGCCATTGCATCATTGTCCAGATCCAGTTCACTGGGATCCAAAGCCAGTTCCACAATGCCTTCGCGATCTGTAGTGGAGCGCACAGGTGGCTGTTTATTCGCACCAGTGCCGCCGCCCCCAATGTCATAAACGTGTGTGGAGCCCATCATAGAAGCGCCAATGCGATCGGTGCGCTTCTCTGGCAGCACTTGATAGAGCACAGGTGTTTCATTGCTAGCAGAAAGAGGATTAAATATTAGCTTGTCTTGTTTGTTGGTGGTTTCATTTATAGCTTACTCCTCCATCTCAGCTTCGATTTTCTTTTTACGTAGCTCAATATTCTCGGGTGTTTCCATACCCGCTGGTACGCTAGTCAGACCAGAGGGCGTGACCAGTCCCTCGACAGGTGTAACCAGACCAGTTTCATCTTGCTGATTGCCCAGATCCTCGCCATCCTCCTCTTCCTCTTCGGATGATTCCTCCGATTCAGATTCCAGTTCACCCCATTGATTACGTTCAATATCTGCCTCATCAATACCATTCTGCGAATGAATAAAAATATATATTACATTTTATATAATATTAGTTAGCTGGCCTACTCACATCCAAATCCAGAGTATTCATGCCAAATACGTCGCCATAGAGCGGCTTGCCATTCTCATCGACTGGCGGCTTACCCCAACCACCAGCATGATAGCCAAACGAGGTGCCCTCCGGTATGGGCGCATTTAAGCCGGGTATCTTTAGATTTGGATACGAAGGCGGTGGTCCGTAACGTTGTTGAGCAATTAACCATGGAGGTGGTATTTTGTGCGAATTTGGTCCAACGGGCATGCCCAATGCAATGCGCAACTCTTCAGATAAATCTCCGGGCTTTTTCTCTTTTAGGCGCGTCTCAAACTCCTTGCCCTCATAATAGAGATCTCCGTGAATGGTCATGCGAGGCTTGGTTTGCCATTTGAAGAAGGCATCGTGCAGTTTTTGATAGTCTATGTCAATTTTGCCCATTTTGGGACGTACACGTTCTCTCATCTTAGCTTTCAGAGTTTTTGCATCTTCGCGCTCTTGCAGCGATTCACGCATCTCCATGATGCCCGTTTTTTTTATGAAGGCAGGCAGGTCAAATGGCGGTTTTTCAATACCACGTTTGCCCTGCAGATATTTACGCTTGAAGCACCAATGACGTGGCACTTGCACCGTATTGCGATACGCTTTCAACTGGACAAGCAATTTTGGATCTCTGGCTGTCACATCGTGCATTTCCACGACATCTGGTCGGGAGACCAATTGCTTTAACTCCGCTACGCTGAGACGCGTGAGTTTCTTTAGCTTGCGCTTAGATAGCTTCTCTTTGTCCTCCTTATTGTCGTCGTCATCGTCACCATCATCGTCATCATCATCATGCATTTTGTTCGACGATTTCTTAGCTTTTGCTAGTGCTTCGGCATCCAGGGCCGCTTTATCTTTTTCTACGGGTTTCGGTTTATTCTCCAGCTTGAATATCTCAAAAACACGATAGAATTGACGATACATGGGCGCCAGATCTGCTATGGTTATTTTCTCCGGCACATATCTTAAATGTAGGACGTGTTTAAAGCTATAAAATAATCTCTAAGGCAGGTTGCACTTACTCAATAGATACATCTTCCTCGTTGTTTTCCGACTTCTTGCGCTCCTTGACCTTTTCTTTCTCTTCACGTTCCCTTTTCTTTTTGCTGCTGCGAGTCTCTCTCTTGGAATCTTTCTCCTTCACTGGCTGCTCTTCATCTTCACTGCCAGCTGCTTTTGGTTCCTCCTCAGGCTCTTGCTCTCTTGGCTCAGAGCGTCGCGCCAGCTGCTGTTGTCGTTCAAATTCCAATTTTTGTCGTAACTTTTTATTTTGCTTCTTGCGGCGTTTCTTCTTTTTATTTTTATCCGCCTTACTTTGTTTCCCGGATTTATCGTTGCTATTACCATTCAATTGGTTATCGGCTTCGTCATCGCTATCATCGCCAACATCGGCGTAGTCTCCGTCTTGCGACCCCCCATCTCCAGCGAAGCCCCCTCTTGCGTCTACATCCACATCAAATTCAGCCACACGCTGATCTTTCAATGCCAACACATCTTCTAGCGCCTTTGGCAGCACCAAGTCAGCAGCTTTCTTAGCATCAGCAGCCGTTTGAGCGTCTTCGTCGTCGCCGGCTCCGCTGCCATTGGCAGCCGCATTGTCGACCGTTTGTTGCTGTTCAAAACGAATGGACATCAATGGCGCCGGTGGATTGCCCTGTAGAAATGAGCCCTTTATTTATGCAACTTAAACTGTAAACATCGCACTTACATCGGGTGGAATTTGATCGGCCATTTTTATTTTATTTTAAATAAAATAAACAAAAAGTCCAGCGAAAATGCAAATTTTGGTGATGTCCTATTCACGTTATCGACTGACTTTTGTGGTGGCACTGCCGATTCCCGTCACACACCACTAGTAAATGTTATCGATAATATGGTGAAAGCAGCGTGTTTCTGATTGCTGTCCGAAATTAACTGTTTAACAGCTGAGTTTCGTTTAAATATAGTTACTATTAGATAAAATAACTAATACATTTATTGATTCTCAAAAATAATCACGTTAACAATATTTTGCACAGTTTTACTTGCTTGCCGGTTAAACAACAGTGAACCAAAACAAACAGGGTGACTTGGGTGTTAAAAATGTTCGAGTTCAATTTTGAAGTGAACGAGTCAGATTCATCGGGTACTGAAAGCCCTTTTAAAAAACGTAAAATTGCTGAGAATTCAAATTCAGATTCGCCAAACAAGAAGATTGACTGGTATCAAGCCGAGCAAATAAAGCCAACGAAAGATCTTTTACAAAGTTTGGATATATACGAACTGAACGCAAAAGAACTAACTATCGGTAACATCGAATTGCGCCATCTTATTGCGGGTTTTCTGCTTGAAGACATTAAAGAACACAGTGATTTGGATAGCCAGGACATAAGGATATCTGAAGAAAGTCATTCTGACTTAATTGCAGGCGTTTATGAAGGTATGTTGTAAAATTTATCAATTTTCTTTATATACAATAATAACACTAATTGCCAGGTGGAGCCAAAATTTGGGAATGTACCGATGATTTATTAATATATCTGTCGAAACACTTTGAAAAAGCGGATTGGAAAGACAAGTCAGTTTTGGACTTGGGTTGCGGCTCCGGACTGCTAGGCATATATGCCGTGAAGTGTGGTGCAAAAGTTGACTTTCAAGATTATGTTAGTAAAAAATATAAATATTGTTTTCGTTTAAAATAATTTGTGAAACTTTTTAGAACAAGGATGTCTTGGAGAAAATAACGATGCCGAATGTGCTGCTGAATTTCGAAGATACGTTAAACGATGATGAGAAAATGGATCTGTTACAAACGGAAAGCAATTTCTATGCGGGCGACTGGTCTAATTTCGCTGAACTTACAAAAAATGTAGAAAAATATGATATAATACTTACATCGGAAACCATTTACAACATAGAAAACCAAGAAAAGCTTTTGGAAACATTTCGAAAACGACTAAAAGAAGATGGAATTGTTTTAGTAGCCGGTAAATCACATTATTTTGGTGTTGGTGGTGGATTAGAGCAGTTTATTGATTATGTAAAAAGTAAGAATGTGTTTACAACCAACTATTTATGGAAAAGTGACGAAAATCTAAAACGAGGTATAGTAGAATTAAAGTTTCAATAAAAAAAACAACTATCGCATACGCCGATGATTTTTATGCAATTTGAACTAATCACCCTGTGCTTGGGGGGTGGGCTTATGTTTTTATCGCTAAAGTTCAGCGTGTAAGTAGAAAGCAGTTAAAGTGTTAATAAAAAGTAATGATTTGATGTTTAAATGAAATATTCAATTGAACATTTAAAGCAAACCCTGTCGCTGGCCATTAATTAATTTAAACAAATTATTTTTTCACACACGCTGCGCGTCGAACAAACTTTTTTTTATTCCAAATTTGCAAATCGATCCGGCTTGAATGTCGAATTTTTTTGCTGCAGCGGAAGAAGTTGAGCGGGGAGAAAAGGAAACACGTAGCCTCTGCTGCTGCGAATATATTGGTCATGATAAGAAGCGATTTCATATACTAGGATGTTGTTGTAATTGCGAGGATTTTGATTTGGTATGCACAAGGTATGAGCAAATGGAAAGAAGCTCGGGCTAGAGCTAACCTTAAGCATAGTCAAAACAGATATGTATTTAAATATTCTTTGCAGATTTATCTGTTGCAAATCCATTGAGAGGCGCAATTTAGACAACATGTTGATCGCGTTCCAAGATCGATTGCGTCTGCCTTGGCGGGGCGGAGCCAAACGCATCTCGCCCGCTGCTCTGGCTCCAGCTTTAATTATCCCCCTCATGATTTGCTTGGCTGCACTCAATTCAAAGACGGCGATTGTGCTTATGTTAACGTTGATTGGCTTCACCTGCTGGGGCTTGCAAGTTGCTGAGGGTACGGCCACAAAGACTAGCTTCTTTCGCAGCTGGATTGTCTTTTCTGTCTTTTACATGGTCATCATCTTTGAGTCTGCCGTACCGTTGTTGGAACTGCTGCCAGAGGAGAATTATCTGTTACTTAGCTTATCTATAGGGGCACTTTATATGCTTTATCGTGTACAGAAATTGGCATCGCTCGATCTAGTAACGACCCAGTATGGAAACACGCCTCGAGATGAGCTGCCAGGCATCACGGAAGCCTCTAGTGGGGAGGAGCAGGCCGAACAGCAGGCACACGAAGCAGTCACCCTTATGGCAGACACTGTGCTGGGTATTGAAGATGATGAGGATGAGAATGAAGACGCGAATCTTATGCAACACTCTCAGCCGAACATTTGTGAGATTTGTCGCAAGGTAACTCCCCGACGTGCCTATCACTGTGTCATCTGTGGCAGCTGTGTAAAGCGGCGATCCCATCACAGCTTTTGGCTCAACTGTTGCATTGGCGAACGCAACTATCGCTGCTATTTGCTGGCCTTGGTTCTTTCTGAATGTGCTCTGCTGCTGGGCGCCAATTTGACATTGACTGCTGTTTGTCATCCATTCTTAGTTGTGCGACTGCTGGGCATTCCCCTCCTGTTACCCGATGACTGCAGCGAGGTATTCGAGGACTTTGAGTGAGTTGCAGCTTAAATTGTTTAATATAAACAATCCCATCTTTTACTTTTTAATTAGATTGGGCATCTCGTTCGTTGTGGCGGCCTATGCCTTGCTGATCTCTGGCTATATAACTTTTGTTCTACTCCGTCAATTGTATTTATGGTGGCGCGGAACCACACTGCATGAGTATAAACGTATTTCTACTCCAAATGGGAATCGGAATCGTGTTTGGAGCAATTGGCGCGCAATTTTAAAGTAATGAAAAATCAACTAAAAAATACCAAATACTAAACCAATGCAACATTTATACTAAGCTGCAAAAATTTCAATGTATTACTGCTGCTGTCTGAGCCGATTAGTTATTAATATGTATTTATTTATATATATATATATATTTAGGCCCAAAATCGAGCGCTCAATTTAAACTATGTAGAAATACGTTAAACTATTTAGTTTTAGTTTACAACTATACGAAAATATCGGATATGTTAAAATATAAGTTGAAGGATAGTATCCCAATATAGAATTTATCGTGTATTAATAGTTTATAGAGCTTCGCATGTCATTCAAAAAATTTGTATTAAAAATCTAACTAGATTAATTGAGATACACATTATTATCAATGTATGCTTTAAATATTGATGTTTTGTTTTGGATTAGAAGACAAAAAGAAACGCACTGTAAAAATTGATTTGGCAATTTTAAATTGTCGCTTCTATTTATCAAGTAAAGTAATTTAATAAAAAAAGAACATAATTTTTCCATTTTCTAATTGGGACTAATTTTAAGTCCAGTACTGTAGTCAGATTTGTTTTAATATAAAATTGCTATTAAGACATTTTTTTTATTTAGCTGAGAGGCCTTATAAAACGAAGCTTCACAAGACTTAAATATAAATATATATAGGCATATAGAAAAATAAAACAAATCTATTTTGATTACCGGTAGATCTACTTGTTGTGCCACCACTGTACGCAGGCAGCCATTTTTTGTTTACAATACAAAAAAAAGTTTAAGCTACCATAAACTATTCTCCCTTGGTTTGTAATCGGGCAGCAGCTCCCAGATCTTCATGCGCCAACGCTGTCGTCGCTCCTCCGTCTCTTTTTCCAAGCGCAAAATTTGCGGCAAGCGTCGCCAACAGTCCAGAACTTTCCACTTAAGATGCCTAGCGAAGGGTTTATTATAAAATAATAAATAAATAATTATAATATTCTATGGATTCATCTGGCAGCCACTTACCATTCATGATGTGAGATGGCCTGCTGCATTTTCGTGTCCTCAATCAAACGACAGCTGGTAGTGTAGCTAAGCCAGCGTCCGAACCAACGATCCGTGCAATGCAGAGCATGCCAGTCGATGGCTACCAGGAGCTTGTTGCGCTGCTCCACGGCATAGAGACGCCATGTTTGCAGAGCTCTGCGCTTTACCGCCTTCTCATAGCATACTTCAGCACGTATGTGCTTCTGCTGTAGGCTGAACTCCGCACATTTGCGCCATTCCACAAAGAAGTTGCGCTTGTAGAGGCGACGGCAGAACTCTTCGCACTTGACCAGATTGTCCCGCTTGCGTTGAATTAGGCGCTTGAAGCACTCCATGCCCAGGCGCAGGAACAGACGGCGACTAAACTCAAGAGCCTTGCGCTGATTCTCAAGGAAGCGTTGGCGCTCGCGCTCCTTCAGTACTTTTGCCATTTTCTCCTGGCGGCGTTTCTCCTTCAGCACCTCCATTCGCAGGCGCTTGGCCTCCTCGTCCTCCTGGCGCTGTGTGTTTAGCAGGTGAGCATAGTTATTTATGCCTGTTCCAGCTGACTTACCTTTGCTTCCTCTATAGCTAGCTTGGCGGCCTCTCTCTCTGCATCCGCCTGTGCTCTGCGTTGACGCGCTTGCTCATGCCGCACGCTGCGCTCCAGCGCTCGATCCTGCATGTGCTGAAGGAAACGTGGCTGCAGTAAGGCCTTGCCCTGCAGTCTTTCGAACTCCTCATCCTCGGTATCGCGCAGACTGCCAATTAGTTGCAGACATCTGGCTTTGGCCTTGGCCTTGGGATCGCCGCAGCGTATGACAGTCTTTAGTTCCTGTTTGAGATCCTCACGTGCCGCCTTGGCCTCCTCGCTCAGCTTGTTTAGCTTGAGTTGCATTATCAGACGCTCCTGCCGCTCCAGCTTGACGCGCTGCAAGTCAATGATGTCTTGCTGCACCTTGAGTCTGTCAAAGCAAAGGAAGATAGGGATTAAGGGATAAGGGATGGGACTCATGCCTACTTAGTCTTAAACTGCTTGGTCATCCTGATGGCCTCCTGGCGCTGTTCTACCGAACGCTGAGCTAGCTTATCCGGATCAGTTGGCGTTGTGGCTCGTCTATTGTTACGCTGTCGCCTCTTCTCCTGCCTGAGCTTGTCCAGGAACGCATTGATCTTTGCAGCGCGATTCACGTGCGTCTTCCCTGGCTCTCGCTCAATCTTCTCCATGGTCGTGTAGTGTATCCATTTGAGAAAGTATTTGCGCAGGCAGTCGAGCTCCATTTCGCTGCGTGGATGGAAAAGCTCTCCGATAATCCTTTCCTTCTCAACAGTTGCTGCATCAGAGCAGCTGTCCAGCGGCTGATTCTCCTCTGACTGTTCCGCCTCATGCTTGGGCTGGAGCACAACTTTCGGTATTTCAATGCGGCGGATGAGCAAAGGCTGCAGCTGCTCTACGGACGAGGTCGTGGGCGACGGCGTCGACTCGGGCGTCGGCAGATGGAACTTGACGAGCTTGATAGTTGTGTCGACAGTTGTTTCTACCACTTCCACTTCTACTTGCTGCAACTGCTCATCCAGTTGCTGTTGGTCCTGTTCTGCCGCCTCCATCTGCAGCTCGTACAGCGCCTCCTCGGCCAGATCGGAGATGACAGAATCAATGCCTTCGCTGGTATTGGAGCAAGTGGATGCCTCGCGCTGCAGCGTCTGCTCCCTTGGTTGCTGTTGCTCCCGCTGGTCCTCCTCCGCTCTTACCTCCTGCAAGTGCTGCCTTTGCCGCTCAGCTGCCGCGCGCATTGGCCGAAACATTTCCTCCGTGGTCAGGAGAGGACTGGGCGTGCGGCACCTTTTGAGCAGTTGATCCCGGCTCTCGTCCAACTGCAGCTGCTTGACAAACTTGCGATACTCTAGCATGTCCACCTCCTCGCGCAGCTCAGCCTGCACCTCCGTCGACTTGACCTGCATCCAATTCTGCTGTTCCGTATCCGCCTCAGCCTCCGGCTCGGGCTGTGCTTCCAGCTGCTGCAACAACGCTGTCGTCGCCAGCTGCTTGCGCAGGGAGCACAGTTGCGCTGCCTGACTCAAAGCATCCACAGGAGTCTTGTAGAAGTTATCAATGTGCTGAGCTGCCTGCGTCAAGCTCTGCATCAGCGGCCCATGATTGAGCTTGAAGTCCGGCTTGGTGGGTCGCACGCGTATCTTGCGCTCCTCCAGGCGTGGATGCTGCCTGGCCAGCTGCTGTCGAAACTTCTGCAGCTGATTGTTCATATAACGCTGCTCCACTTCCAAGTTGTGCGCCTTGGTGGTGTCCAGATTGCTGCCATAAGCCACTGTGGCCAGCGGCAGCTGACGCGGAATCTTCGAAAACTGTGGAGAGGATTACACATTGCTCATTAATCGTGGCCAAGTGCTGAGACTCACCATCTCATGCCGCATATCCATTATAACACTCGGATTCAGCTGATTTTGAGGGTGGCCATCGACGAGCAGCTTGGCTTGCCTTTGATCCACGTAGTCCAGCTCGATGAAGCGACGCACTGCCTCCGTTTTGAGGCCCAAGCCATTGGCATTCAGCTGACGCTTGCGTATGCGATCCCAACGTGTGGGCTTGTTCAATTTTTCTCGTCGTTTTTGGAGCAACATTGTGAATATTTCTAGAATCTTTAAGCCTTAACGAAATTTTCACTTGCAGCTCAAAGGAAAACTAAAGATTGCTAAGGATTGTAAACAAATTTAGGAAACGTTGTCCAGGCAACTAAAAGCCGCCGGCTGAGCGACTGTAAATAACATGGAAAATATCGTAGGTTGCTATGCAGCAAAGATTTCCATAAACGGAAAATAAACTGAAAGGAAGTATTCGACTCGCAAATACCCCAAATGGGTTTGGATAAACTCAAACCCTTGAAATTTCTTCAGATGGAGCTGATTATCGAGTGGTACAGAAGGTTACGAAAAGGCAAAGAGTTAAGTAATGAAATAGCTTCTACTATTGCCTGTTACATACGCATGCACTAAAACAACATATCCTACTTTTAAACACTTTCAAGAGGTATACAAAAGTTGGGTTTCTATTAAGATAAGCATCTGGCTTTATTTTTGAATTGATTAATACTTATATTAAATAAGCAATGGGCATTATAGTTGAGCACTAGCCTTTATATTCCATATACCCATAAACATATAATATATATATATATATATATATCTGATAAAGCATTACAAATTATATTCAAAAACAATTTTCAGTAACTTGATAAAAATTAGAAAATGCATTTGAGATTTGTCTAGCTTTATGCTCAGGCAGATGTCAGACCAAATCGTGTTAGTACATAAATATTATATATAGCTGAAGCTTCGATTCGGGTTAAGAACCTCAAGCTATAAGCATGTGCTCAAGGATTTCAGCAATTACTTTAAAAAATACTTTTTAAGCTCTTTAATCAATTGTTTACGATATGAAGTTAATTAGAAAATGAAAACCTACGAATCAAGATAACGGCTTTATATATGTATAGGCGCACAAATATTATCTTATCTTATTGATTTTGATTTATATATATTTATAGAAAAGACACATCAATATTGATCTATAGCTTTTGCATTGTGAAGCGCAACTTGTGCCCGATTTAAGTATAAAACGTTTTTGCAATAAATGCTATAAATATATAATAAGTAATAACACAATTTTGAAAGCTTAATATATGCTGAGTGAATCGAGTGGATTGAGGATTGGGATCATTCCATTATGCAGCCGCTTGATCTTCTTCGAGTTGTCATTCAGTATAAAAGTTAGTCTTTCGTTTAAGCAGCAGCTGGATCCTTCTTGGTCTTCTCCTTCTTGGACTTTTGTTTGTCGGCAGCAGCTTGCTCCAAATCAATTGGCGCTGGCTTAACAAATGGAATCTCGTCCTGGAATTTGGACGGCATGTATTTCTTCAATGGCTCTGGCACCTTGATGCCCGTCTCCGTCTGATGGGTTTCCAGGATGGCGCAAATGACACGCGTCGCAGCGCACATTGTGGCGTTTAACATGTGCACATAGTCAACAGCTGCATTCATCTTCTTGGTTTGGCCATAGCGAACGAGCAGACGACGCGCCTGATAGTCCAAGCAATTGGAGCAGGAGACGAGCTCTCTGTAGGCGCCACTGCCACCAAACCAGGCCTCCAAATCAAGCTTCTTGGAAGCAGCATGATTCAGTGCACCCGAAACAATGTTGACAATGCGATATGGAATACCCAGAGATTGACAGAACTGCTCCGCATTGCCAATCATTTCGTCCATCATTTCCCACGATTTATTGTCATGTGGCGAGGTCAGCACAAATTGTTCCACCTTTTCGAATTGATGCACTCGGAAGATACCACGTGTATCGCGTCCATGGGAGCCCACCTCCTGGCGGAAACAAGTGGACAGGCCAGCATATTTGATGGGCAGCGATGCCTCTGGCAGCCATTCATCACGATGATACGCGGCTATAGGTTGCTCCGATGTGGCTATTAGGTACTTCTCATCTGTGCCACTCTCCTCGGCACGTTCGCTGCCCTTGCCTACCACCTTGTACAGTTCCTCATCGAATTGCGAGAGCTGGGCGACCTCTTGCATCACCTCCTTGCGCATAAAGAAGGGCGTGTACAAAGGCATATAATCCTTTTGATAGAGCGAATGCAGGGCATGTTGTATTAGGGCTTGCTCCAGGAAGACAGCAGCGCCAGTTAGGAAGTAGCCACGCCCACCTGATACAACAGCGCCCTTCTCGGCATTCATGCCATCGATCATAACAATCAAATCCACATGCGAATATTTGCCACGCTTTGTACAATCGCCAAATGTGCGCTCCACACGATTCTCGTCCTCATCATTGGAAACGGGCACCGACTCGTGCAAATGATTGCCCACCTCACGCAACGATGTATTTCTGCTCTGTTCTGCCACCTCCAGTGCTTTTTGATTCTCGGTCATAGCATCATCGATGAGCAGGCGCAATTGCTTAATTTGATTCACAGTCAACTCTTGCAGTGTTTCGGCTGTGATTTGCGTTAAGTCTGAGCGTACTGAGGCCGGCACCTCCTCACCATCGGCGCCCACGGGCTCCTTCTTCTTCATCTTCTCGCCAATCACCTTGCTGCAGACGTTCTTCACCTTATTTAGGTTGTCGGCTCGATGCCGACGTTGACGCCATTCGGTGTCCTTTTCGATGACAGCTTCGACGAGGCCAACATCTTTGAAGCGCTTTTTTTGATTCTCGCGCACCGCATCGGGATTGCCGCCCTTGTCACTGCGAAACAGATCCAAATCCAAAACCATTTTTAACGCTTTCAATTTAAACAATTTTCACTGCAGATTTCGTCAGCGTTGCGTTTCGTTTCGTTTACCAAAACGTGGCGGCTTTAGTGATGAGCCACTAAACAAGTAAGTGTTACTTTTTATCGACAGCTGTTAAAATCAGGCCTGCTATTGTGTTGCATTGGTTCTATTTTTTATTGAATTTGATTATTTGTCTGACGGAATAGCCCTGGTTTAAAGTGTTTGTTTTTAATTTGTCTTATTTTATTGAATAGAAATTTTAATAATTTACAATTTCCATAATACTTAAAAAGTGTATGTTAACTGTAGCTCTAGCATGTTGTAATTGGTCTATTCGCCATTTAATGGCTGGTGTTGATAGCTCTTCACACACCAGCCCTGGTTTGACATTTATTTAAAATTTTCTTATTGGAATTAACACCAAAAAAATATATATTTTTATCTTTGTTCATCCGCCATGGACTTCATCGAAAGCGAATTGTGCGACATACGCGCTAAATGCGAACAGAAAATAGCAGATAGCAAAATAATAAGCTGCAGCTCAACGCTGGTGCGAGTCGACCTGCTGCCACACAGACCAAATCGGACGTTGACGGTTTGTTTACGTTTTCCCGCTGAAGATTATCCGAAAACGTCGTCGATTTTAGTGGAGTTGAAGAGCCGGGCTTATTCTGAGAAATTACACGCAGAACTGACAAGACTTATAGATGCGTATGCTAGGGAGCATTTGGGTGTGCCGCAGGCTTTGTTAGTATTGAGTTTTGCTCAGCAATATTTATTGGATAATCCACTCTGCGTTTGCCTGGACGAGATTAAACAGCTGCGAATAGATTTAAAGAGCGAAGAGCAACCACAGAACACAAGCAGTCAGTTAAAGTTGAAGCAGCGCACAAGTAGCGTGGAATTGATAGCTCGCGGCGGAAATTATGTTTACCGGGTAACAGCCGCGGTGCCCGACTCGTATCCCAATCAGTCCGTGGAGCTGCGTGGCCAACAATCAAATCTCCCGAATGTATTGATTCGTTATCTCAACGGGCAGTCGCGTGAGATAGCTCGCCAGTGCGTGGAGCCACCGTTGCGCCTTACCAAGGATCAGTTGGCCAGCTTTCAACCCGTGCGCAGCCTCTATCGAACGCTCAAATTCTGCCTGGAAGCTACGCGGGATTTCCATCGAGAATTGTGTCCCATTTGTGATAAAACCGTGCTGCAGATGGACCCGGAGTCTCTAGTGCTAGACGAGCATGCGGATGGCTTTGTGGAACGTGTCTATTGTGGCCACCTGTTCCATCAAGGCTGCCTTAAGCATTATTTATCTGAGCCGCCGTTTCCAAAAGGAGGCAAACTTTGCCCTGCCAAACGGCGACATCCACGATCCGATGCACAAACATACATGGGCCGGGGAGGAAATACAGCAGCCACATCCACAGGCCGAAAGCAGCTGATAGAACCTGGCGTGTGTGGCATAAAGCTCGCTCATGATCGCTGGGTGGTGAATGTGAAAACAGCGGAGGCGCGCTGGGCACAGAAGCAAGCGAGACAAAGGGAGTTAGAAGAAGTTGTCGATTTTCTACAGTAGCTTACGTTAAAATGGATTGGATGGTAAACAAAAGTCTTCTGTACATATAATTCGTGTGTGATGTATATTATTCGAATACGCTTAAATGGCTAAAGATGCTATGAAATAAATAAAGAAAAAATGATCATAAATAGGACTGAATAAAACAAATGAAGGCTGCTCGTTGGCTGTTGAATGGAAGTCGCAAATGGTAACCAACAAGCAGCTTGAGCTACTATCGATATCTATAACTATCTATTATTATTATGCGACTAGCTTTGTCTACATTTTGTCTATTTTTCTTACTGGAAGTCTTTTGAGTTGGAGAGACTTAGAAGCCGGTAATAATTTCATCGTCCTCATGACGTTTGATGGGATCGCCTTTGAGCAACGCAGAAATCAAGCTGCAAGAAGATAAATGTTTATAGCAAACATAGATAGTAGACAATGTTATATACAAACCAGTAAAGCCCCACGAAGAACATGACAAAGTAGTAGCCCAGATAAATCATGCAATTCCTCAAATGCACCTTCAGTAATCCTCGACTATGAATATCAACAGGATCGTAGACGCCCAGGCTATCGCGACGTTGTCGCTGTAGCTCATAGAACAACCACACGGCCATGGGCAAGTTCAGCAGAAACATTACCCAGTGTCTAAAGAAATTAAATCGGTTATTTATATTTGAAAAGCGAAAACCTTTTCCACCCACCCGCAAATGAGAAGCATCGCACAGAGCAGCGCCTGGCACCCAAATTTGGGTATGACCCAAAAGTTGAGACGGCGACAGCACTCCTGTGCATTTAAATAGTCGCATTCCAAATCAGCTAGCGTTAGCACCTGTCCAAATTGGAATATTTAAATTTTTTTTTTTCATCTCTTTTTCGCACCTGCCACTTACATAGTAAATTAATAGCAAAAGTATCGCGCCATATGTGAGCAATGTGATGCAGAACACAGCTGTTTCGGGTAGAAACATAATTGCACTATTTATTCGCCTTTCACTTAATTCTTATGGTTTTTAAACTAGTTTAAATAAATAAATTGCTGCATTTTCGCTGTTATTAATTAGTGCTGTTGGTTAGTGTTGGAAAACACTATAAATATATATAGTACTGTACTAACGGACCGGCAACGCTACGCAGCGGATAACAGCTGATTGTAAACAAATGAAAGAAGCTTATAATTTATTTAATGGGTGGAAAAAGTTATTATTGTGATTACTGTTGTTGTTTCATGAAAAATGATCTGAATGTGCGTAAATTGCATAATGCAGGCATTTCACACACAGCTGCCAAAGCAACCTACATGCGCCGCTTTGAAGGTACTCAGAAATTTATCATAAAAAAGAAATTCATAAAAATTTAATTTTCTTAGATCCAAAAAAAATATTGGCTGTGGAGCGTGAGAAAAGGCCGTGCAAACGTTTCTTGGCTGGCTACTGTAGATTTCAGCTGCTTTGCAATTTCCGGCATTATAGCGATAAGCAAATGAAACAGCTCGAGAAAATAGGTGCCTCATCAATTTCCAGGAAAATGTACAATTATTAACTTATTTACAAACTATTTGTAGTGCGTCAACTGAAGAAGAAGCGTTCCAAGAAGAAAAAAAATCCCCAGCTAACAAGAAAATGTAATTTGCCACCCTCGCTGCAACCTTTTGACATAGATAAGCTAAATCAAACCAATTGGAATTTAAATTGGGGCTAGCATAAACAGAAAAGGCTATTAAAATATGTTTACAACAAAAACATCAGTTTTCTATTACTCTAAGCACTGTTGGAAAGTATGTCAATTAGATATAACATTCAGTGTTGAATTGATGCTAAAAATAGCTTAATTATGTTTTAACAACCACAAAAAATATAAATTATTTAGGGCTAGGAATAAGAAAAATTAAATTTTATTAGCTACAAATTATATTCTTCATATTCATCTTGATGTAGCATTTAGAATGCCAATCACTTTGTCCATAATGCGCGATACTTTTAGATTTATACGCAGCACTCGAGCAAATTCATAATGATACGATTTGGGGCTATGTCCGCTCAGATTCTCCTCATCGGGATTTGTTAGGTGAGCGAGCAAGAAGTAACAGAAATGTTCCAGCTCTCCTTCAATGGCATAGAAGAGACTTACGTTGCCCGCACGTGCCTCCGAAGCATTGATTATCTTACGCTTCAACTGATGCGTGAGCAATTTATCTTTATTGTTATCCAATCGATCGCAAGCGTGTTCATAGAACTTGGCAAATTGTTTCTCATCCTTGACATCCGTTCCTTTACTATTATTATCTGAATGTGTTTCGTGCGTCTCATTCGAGGCACGCTTATAGACAGGCTCACCCAACTGCCTTTGATCGATTGCGTCGCAAATAATTTCAGCCATTTTATAACGATTATGCCGCACTGCGATATGAAAAGCCGTGTAGCCATCATCGTTTCTCTGCAACAGCAGATTAAGATCGATTCGCAGCATTAGTTGACGAAGTGATTCCAATTGCACATTATTGATAATAGCTATGTGAAGCGCTGTATTGGAGTCTTCATAGATATGATTGGGTAACACGCCCGCGTTCAAAACGACCTTCACTATTTCCGCATCACTATCGTTGGTCAGAGCCAGCTGCAAGCAGTCCTCGCCATCCACGCTTACCAGTTCGTTAAAATCAACATTGCCCTTTAGCTTGGACCAGACATAAGCCTGTCGCTGTACGCGTTGAACGTCGCCTAACAAAATAGCATCATGTATAGGTCTATAAGAGAATACAGGTTGTTAGAATATATAAAGGGAGAAATAGAAGTAAAACAAGTCTTACAGCAAGCCCTTATCGGACATAAGATCCGCTTTACAAAATTCATCCTCCATGGTCTTATAGATTGTGCGTTTTATATCATTGTTTACATAATCATCCAACCCATTGGCCAGGTCAAGTATATTAACATCAAGATCATTCAGATTCAAAGATAAATTGGACAAGAAGGAGTCTCGACGTTGGAGGGGACTCTTGACTGGTAAGTGACTGTCTGATGAACTGGGCACCTAAAACAATTAAATTATTAAATTAGTGAAAGCTTTAACATTTTCATCTGTTCTGTGCTTACAGTTGTCTCCAGTTTCTTCTTTTTGGGGACCGGCAGAGGCGTCAATTGCTTCTCTTCGCGCTCTTGTAGCGCCATTTGGGCCGCTGATCTTTTGACCACCTGGGGCACACACGTGTTGCGTTTGCGTCCACGTTTTCGCGGTACTTTTGCAGTTGTTGGTGTCTCTGTTTTGGATAAGTTGTCTTCATTTTTAAGTAGTTTCTCAGGCTGTATTTGTTTGTCACACTCATTTAAATTTGTTTCACCACTGGTAGTCTCTTTAGTCTCTAGTATTTCGGTTTGTGTTGACGCATTCACTTTTGGGCTAATTGTTTTTTGTTGTTCTTTTATAGAGCATTGTTTACACTGATTGGGGTTTAAGATAGGGGACTTATCGGTTCGCCCATTGATAGCGTCAATTACGCGTTGTTGCAACGCCTTGTCGGGCAGACGCATTAACAACTTAAAAATCTCCTCGTAGATGGACTGAAAGGATTTCCGTTGCATATACGTATTGGTTATTACATTCGTTTGCATATGCATTATACGCACATTCGTTGAATTTATTGTTGGAGCTGTGGCAAGGTTTTGTGGTTTCTTTATAACATCAGTTGTTGTCACACATTTGTGCAGTGATTTAGTTAATAACACTTTCTTCATTGTTGACGCTTTATTGAAAACTATGATGTAGTATACCTCGGGGGATGTCTAGATTTCTTTCACTGAAAAATATACAAAGTCGGTTTTTCCCCAGCACGCTTGCACTAAATAATACCGATACACTGTGTATCTGTGTTAATTGCGATATATCGTTTCATTTTAGGCATTTTTTAGCCCTGGTCATATGTTTTAACTTGAGAAGCTTATCGATGGTATTATGTGGCCATGTCAGTTTAAATAAATTACAATAATAGTTCAATAAAAACATGATTTAGAAATTTATTGAACAGAGTGCAAAATATAATAATGTTATTATATGTGTATACAGTGCAACTGAGTGTGGCAAACAAATAAATGCTTGTTCGCTAATTTAGGAGCCAGCGACATTTGTCCCAGTTCTAATCGATAACAGTAGCAGGCATTTCGTTGTGAATGACAACAGCAGGCTGAGATTTTTTCCATAGTTTTTTACTGTGCGTGTGTTCTATTGTAAATGTACAAGCGTAACGCTTCATAATTAACTTAATTTTTAGATACGCTAAATGAGTGAGTTACGTGGTAATTGTTGCTAGCTAGAGCTGTGTCCACACAATACGCCTTTATTTCGATTTAAAAACAACTTTAGCCTCAGGTAGGCGTAATATGGATTCGCATTCGCGCTATGGACGCAGCTTTTCAGGAGGCAACAGCGCAGGAAGTGGCGGTGGGGGCGGGGTTAGCAATAGCACCAACAATCAATACAGGCGCTACAGTCGCTCCCGTTCGCGATCCCGGTAAGCATGCACGTTTGTCGCCAAAGCCTAAAAATAGATTTCATTTTGCTAATTTATTTTTATTGTTGCAGTGAACGCAACAGGGATCAGCCGGGATATAGGCGTCGAAATTCGCGTTCGCGCAGTCGCGAACGTTCGATGCAGCATTATCGCAACACGGGTAGCGCTGACAAGGATCTGTATCGCGATTTAATCAACGATGACTACAACGAGGATCGTGGCAGCAGCAACAATAGCTACAACAACAGCAGTAACAACTATAACAATTCGCGCAACAATTATCACAATCGTCGTGATGGTGATAACTATGATAGTGAGCGTGAACGCGATCGGGAGCGGGATCGAGATCGAGACAGGGATCGCGAACGTGAACGAGATCGCGATCAGCGCTGGAAAAACTACGAGCGGGAACCACGGGAACGTAACGCTGACTATGACAGGGGCATGGAGCGAAGGTAAAATATCGTAGGATTTAACTTGGTCTAGATGTCTAACAGATGTTTTATCTTCTCTCTGACTTAGTCGCGATTATCGATCGCATAACAACGGCAACAACAATGGCAACAACAGCGCAGCTCCTGGAGCCAATCGTGATCGGGATAGACGTTATCCTTCCGATGAGGATAGCTATGACAGCGATGAGAGCGACGATAGCCAATACCGTCGCAACCACATCCGCACCAGCAACGAGGCACTGCATCAAATAATCATATTTGATTTAAAAAAACACATCACAGAAGCTGACGTAAGTAGTGAAGTGGAGCTTCGAATATGCGTTATATGCGTTTATATATATGAGATAATTGTTGGGGAATCATGTTTTAAACATCTCCATTTGTCAGAGTCAGACCGTTGATGGTCGACATTAGGAATATAGAATATTAGATCTATAATGAGATGATAATCTAATAAATATTATTTATAACAATTCACTCTTTCATTTAACAGATTATGAGCGCGTTGATACAAGTGAACATGGAGCCCTCTTCTATACGACTGATACGCAAGCGACCTACAGGTGGGTTACAATAACGCAGAAATTACCTTAAGAGTTAGCTTAATATTATGTAGTAAGATATATACACGATGCGTAAGTAATATAAAGATTGTGTTAACTCGGCAGAAGTTCACATCCAGCAACTAAATTGAATAAAAAACATACTTGGCCTATAAAAAACAGACAACAAAAAACATACCCTCCAAAAAAATAAATAAACCAAAACAAAAAATGTTACAACAAATATTAAAAAACAAAGAACATATTTTGACAAAAACCATTTTGTATCTGCTTCTATCTAAAATTTAGGTGCATCACGCGGTTTCGCATTTGTCGAGTTTAATACCGTTGAGGAAGCAAAACGTTGGATGGATATAACCCAGGTATCACAACAACAAGAAACCAACTAAGCAAAATAAAAAGTTATAAAATTAAAGATAAATAGCGAAAGCTCGACAATAATTGTGAAATATGTGCCTTAAGTTCAGTTCAACAGCAGCCAACAGCCACAACAATAACAACAAAAAAAAAACCCCCCAAATAACTATTTCGTATTGTATTATATAGTAGCATATATAATCCATTTACCCTAGACCAGATTCTTTTTTTGCAGAATTTTGGTTTGTTCATGCCTCCGTTTTTGATTTTCATTTGTTTCTTCTTGTATAAGTATAAGTCAAAGTCAGAGAGAGATAGTAAAAGTTCTTTCTTCTGGGCGGCAACTGAACTTAAAGTGAACATTTCAATTTATTGCGTTTACTCTGGACAACAGAATCAACAACAACAACAACATCAACAACAACAACAGCAGCAGCTACTGCAATGAACCACAACAGCAACAGCGCGTTTTAAGACACAGAAGCAACCTGGTGACTGTGTACTCTGTGTGCAACATTCCAAAGATTAAAGCACTAATCGTTGTTTTCTTCTCTCTTTTCTCTTCCTGTCTCATTCAGGGCACCTTGGAGCTGGGCGATCAACGCGTCTCGCTGCAATACAGTCATAAGCGGATCACCGATTGGCATTGCATTAAGGTATGAGAAGCTAAACAACTGAAGCGGAAGTCATTGGTACAAAATTCTCTTTTGCAGTGTGGCGTCTTCAATTTCAAGCGTCGCTTCTCCTGTTTCCGTTGCATGGCATCCCGAGCGGAAAGCGAAAGCATTTTCTCTGGCGGCGGCGAGGGCATCGACGAAGTTAGTCCAATTCTAACAAAAAGTATGCACAGAAAACAAATACCAAAGCCAAGAAGTCTTAATTAAACGCTTTTGTCCTTTCTTAATGCAGAGATCATGCTGCGGAATTTGGACGCGCTGACGAACGAGGAGAGCGTGCTAACTGCATTACAGAAGGTGCTGCCAAAATTGGCTAAGACAATCAGTAAGGTGCTCATCAGTCGAGATACATTAACTCAAACTTCGCGTGGCATTTGCTATTTAAATTTTGAGACTCTTATCGATTCGATGGAGGTGCACAATGCGCTATCAACGTTGGATCCGCCGCTAAGGATCGATGATCGTGATGGTGAGTGGAATTAGCTGAATTGCAATTAGTGATAAATTAATCTTAAATCTCATTTGTAGTGTGCATCAGTTACTGCATGGATGCAGAGAATCGTCAGCCAAAGGACTCACAAATTAGTAGCACCGGCGGCCTTCAAGGCGGGGCCTTGGACGCTGTTCCTCCTTCTGATGCTGGCGGCGTTTATACCTTAGCCGATGTGCCACGCCTCGCCGAGTATAGTGCCTCGTTGTACGCCTCCACTCCAGCGGAGCATGCACACTATGTGCAGTATTATACGGATTATTATGTGGCTGAGATTAAGAAGGGCGGCGGACAGTTTGGCGGTGGAGAAACCCAGTTAACGGAGGCTAATTCTGGCGCCGCTGTTGCCCTCTCCGCCATACAGCGCAAGCAGAAAAAGATGAGCAGTATTGAGACGACAGCCACGGCAGCGGCAACGGCGGCTGCCCAGGCGGCTGCTGCAGTGAAAGCAACCTTTGCGGCACAGAATGTGATTGCGCCTAGAGGAAATGATGGCAAAACGTATCGTGAGTGGACAAAATTGAATATATATATTTATATATACTAGCTGATCTGGTTTGGAGCGGTTTGTTTAATACAAAGCCTTGGCGTCCATTCCGTTTCATATTTAATCAACTGGTCTTCGATGAGTTCAATTATCTACATCTATATCTGTATATCCATCTCTATCTCTAAATAGCCACGCCAGATGTCTCACGCTATCAATATGATGAAACGTCTGGCTATTATTATGATCCCAGCACGGGCTTGTATTACGATGCCCATTCGCAGTACTATTACAACAATGAGACAGGCGCCTATTTGTATTGGGACCAAAGGCGTAGCACCTACATACTAGCCACGCCGGCCTCCACACAAGCGGCACTGCAGGAGTCGCTTGCGCAGGAGGCACAGGCTGACAAGGAGGAGGAGTCAACCAAGAAGGATAAAAGCAAAGACAAAGACAACAATAAGCATGACAAGGTTAAGGTGGCTAAAAAGATTGTTAAGGACATGGAAAAGTGGGCCAAGCAATTGAATCAGAAAAAAGACTATACAGTGGTGGCCACACCGCAGCCCATTCTGCCGGGACGCGGTGATCCTGGCGAGGGTCCGAGCACATCACGCGCTGCAGCGGGTGCCTATGCCGACGTGGGTTTCTCTATATTAGAGAAGAAGGAGCGCGGCAAACTGAGCGACTATGTACCGGCTGCTCCTCCGATAAATAAGCTTGTGAATGCTTATGGAGGTGGCTCTGACTCGGATGAGGATAACGGAGGTGGCACAGGTGCACAAGCTGGTGGTCCTGTTGATGAAATGGACTATGTGGATTTCCAGAAGCTCACCTGTCTACTGTGCAAGCGTGCCTTTCAATCTCATGACATACTGCAGAAGCATTTAAAAATGTCCAATTTGCATAAGGAAAATTTGGCCAAAGTAAATGCGGGCAGCGCTGTCGGCGGCAGCAGCGAAGATACAGCGAACGCGGGCTTATCGTAAGTTCAAATATCGTATATCGGATATCGTATTTTATATTTACATTGGCAATGCCTCTCATCTAAACAGTTATCGTGATCGCGCCAAGGAGCGACGTTTAAAATATGGCGAGGGTGATCCTCCACCACCGAATCGCAGTCGCGAGCGGTTCGAGCATGAGATCAAGAATTTGCAGACACGTCAAAAGGATACTGGAGCAGCACCTGCCATGCCCATTAGCTCAAACAATGTGGGAAATCGCTTGCTTCAGAAAATGGGTTGGTCGGAGGGTCAAGGTCTGGGGCGCAAGAATCAGGGACGCACGCAGATTATAGAGGTATTTTGCCAACCCAGCTAAATTTGATCAATGTTTATATTTAATTTTATTTCATCAGGCTGAGGCTCGTTCGAATAATGTCGGACTTGGCAACAAGAGCAGCACGTTGGCACCTGGCGACGATTACAAAACGTACATTAAGAAGATGATGAAGTCTCGCTATGAGAATGCCTAAACTCAATAGTTCATTTAAGTTGTTTCCTTATCGTATTTACTATTTTAAGTTTGATTTGTCTGTATTTGAATTCGCTGCATACAAGTTGTTTACCTCAGACTTCACAAATTTATATCATGTCATCTAGCAATCGCATTACATAGCTGAAATACTTGTAGTTTAATAAATGTATATACTAAATATATATATGTATATATAATATGAAATGTATTTGATTTTGTATTAAAGCTTTTAAATGTATCGATGAGTAATATCTTTTCGATAATTTCGATAAATGATGGAATCGACAATATTTTGAGCGCATTTTGTTGTTTGCGAAATTCGGTCACACTCGTCAGCGGCAAGTTTGTTTACGTTTGTGCAACACGTGTTTTTATTAACTTTTCTTAATAAATATTTGTATAATTAAAAGAAAAGTGTGACAAATGAGTTCAAGCAAGCTACCACCTTTGACCTACAAGGTTGTGGCTGAGTGCTCCGTGTCAAAAGCCCGCGCGGGCCTAATGACTCTGAGGTATGACTTTTCTACTCCAGATTTGATTGACTGATTATTTTTGAGCCAATTCCTTGCAGGCACAGCGAAGTGCGCACACCTGTATTTATGCCTGTGGGCACGCAGGGCACCATGAAGGGTGTACTGCCAGATCAGCTAATCGAACTGGATTGCCAAATATTGTTGGGAAACACTTATCATCTAGGTCTGCGACCCGGAATTGAGACATTGAAAAAAGCTGGCGGACTTCACAAATTTATGTCGTGGCCAAGAGCAATCCTGACAGATTCTGGTGGCTTTCAAATGGTCTCGTTGCTGCAGCTGGCGGAGATCGATGAGCATGGCGTTAACTTTCGTTCGCCATTCGACAATAGCGAATGCATGCTAACCCCGGAACATTCGATCCAAATCCAGAATGCAATTGGAGCGGATATTATGATGCAGCTGGATGATGTGGTAAAGACGACGACAACGGGTCCGAGAGTTGAGGAGGCCATGGAACGCACCATACGCTGGGTGGATCGCTGCATTAAAGCGCATGCACGCGATGATGAGCAATCCCTGTTTCCCATTGTGCAGGGAGGATTGGAGATTCCTTTGCGAGAGCGCTGTGTCTCTGCCTTGATGGAAAAGCAGGTGCGCGGCTTTGCAGTGGGCGGTTTGAGTGGTGGCGAGAGCAAGCACGACTTTTGGCGCATGGTGCACGTCTGCACGGATCATTTGCCAAGGGATAAGCCACGTTATCTGATGGGCGTGGGCTTTGCCGCGGACTTGGTCGTTTGTGTTGCTCTTGGCATAGATATGTTCGATTGCGTCTTTCCCACTCGCACAGCTCGCTTTGGGTGCGCCTTAGTCGACAGCGGACAGATGAATCTGAAACATCAGAAATATAAGCATGATATGGAACCTATTGATAAACAATGCAATTGCAACACTTGCAAGAGATATACCCGTTCCTACCTGCATCACATCGCAACCAACGAGTCCGTCTCCTGCTCCCTGCTCAGCGTTCACAATGTGGCCTATCAGCTGCGCTTGATGCGCTCTATGCGGGAGGCGGTGCTAGTGGATGCCTTTCCACAATTCGTGAAAGATTTCATGGCTCGACATTTTGGCAGCGACCCGATTCCCAGTTGGATTCGAGAGGCTTTATCTGCGGTTAACATTGAATTGCCGCCTGATGCGAGTGAGGACCAAGCAGTAAACAGCTGATTGCCAAAATAAGCTAAAACTAATAGACGCTGACTTATATGCGTACTATATACATATATATAAAAAACCTGTATTTATCTATTGATTTAACAAAATACCAATTGAGTTTATATTGACAAACATGCAAATGTACTTATCTAAAAATATCGTTTTTCGATTTTAATGAATGGCATAATACCTGTTAGTATTAAAAATATATATATGTATACATATCGATTTTTTAAATTCCGAGAGGGTATTCAACTGTCGTTTTCCCTATTCAATTTCGATCAATGCAAAGCTTTCCTCGAACTGTCTGGCGTAAAAGCTCTTTGCTTACATATGGGAAAAAGCTGCCGCAAAAATGACGCATGCGAAACAACGAACGCCGCATCAAAGACGATCAATTCATGTATATTAGTACTCTATTTTCGCTTTTCTTTCAATGTAACCACAAACACACTTGCAAATGGCAAATGTGTCTATGCATGTGTGTGTCTATGTGTAAACACACGTATTGCTTGCTGTTCTTATATTGTCTTCTCCTCCCCCACCAAAAACGTGCGTTTTTTGGGAACTGCTCTCTTTGCTCTTTACACTTTTGCTCTCTGACTCTCACATATGCGTCAGAGACGAAGATCAGCGGGCATTTTCAACAGTTGCGGACACATTGGCCTATTCAGTGTGTCTCAAAGCGTCGTCGTCGTCGGTGATCGCGCGGTTGTTGTCGTTGCGCTCTAACGGTTTTTGCAGGCGCTCATTCTACGCATTTCAGTTAAATACACCTCACCTCCTCTTAAATATCAACGCGCTAATAATAAATAAAAACAAAAATTGCCAAAATTGAAACCAACTACGAATTGTAAGATATTATTGTTGATAATTTATAGCTACAATCAATCACAATACCTAATGCAAGTGCGTGCGTGAGTGAGTGAGTGAGAGAGAATGATTTGTTGATTTTGTTGTTGCTGCTGGAGTTTCTTGCGTTTGTATATGTGTTTGTGTGTGTGCTACGTTCTGCCTGTGTTGCCAAATGTGGTCAAAGTAAAATAACAAAAATACATATGTGCATACAGACACACACACTCACACTTTCACATTTATGCATATATACGTGCTTTTGTGTGTATGTATTATTCATACATTGTAAAGTGCTTTTTATGGCTTGAAATTTTTGCGAGTTTTTTTGTCGCATTTGTTCGTTCAGTTCGAGAGCAGTCTGCATATAGTCTTATTGGATTGTTGATAGCATTCTAATGTAACGGGTATTTAAACTAACCAATCAGAAAAACATTTGCAAATTAGACCCATTTCAAGGCCCATTCAAGAGAATTTTTCCTTTGCATAGGAAAATTTCGGTTTCTTTTTATTATTTATATTTTGCTAGCCAGCGTTCTGCCTGTGTTTTTGAATTTTTCATGGTTTCATTTCTTTAAATAAGTTTTATTTTTAGCATTTTCAGTTATTTTTGTGTATATTTTTTTCTCACCAAGTTTTTGCCTCTGTTTGCTGCTCGTCCGATTATTTTTGAATGTTCTTGCCGTTTCTTTGGAATACACACATATATTCACTTCATGTGTGTGCGATTTGTGTATAAAATGTTTGGCTTACACGTTAAAAATGTGGAAAAGGGCTTTCAGCAAGTGATACCAGCCAATTGGTTATTTTCCAATAAGAATATATTATAGTCTATTGTATAGTTTTGGAAACTCAAATCTTCCTTTATCCATTACGCATAACAGTGTATAACATAGTATAACAACAGTGACAATAAAAAGTAAACAGCGATTATGCTTGAAGTGAAGAAATCATATAAAAGATTGTTGGCCTCCAAAAAGTAAAAAAAAAAAAAAAAAAAAAAAAAAACAATAAGAGTTTGTCTCGTTATGCATGTGTGTGTATAAGGGAGAGTAAACGCAAATGGCAAATTACCAAATAGAGAGTCAAATGCTGCTAATCATTATCATCATAATAATCATAATTACACATATACGCACAGGCAGACATACACATACGCAGAGCGTCAATCTTTACCGTTAGCAGTCTATTTGTATTTTTAAATTATGACACACTAAATAGCCACACATTGCGCGCTCGAGCTCTCTTGCTCTCTTTAACTAATGCTCTCTCGCAGCACTTAACTCTTTGAACAGCAGCTGAGTGGGCGGCGCAGACGTAGGCGCTGACCGGTGCTGTTGTTGTTTTTCGTATTCCTTGTGTTTGCTGCTGTCTTTAAAATTTGCCACACATGATTTAAATGAGCCGCTAAAGCGTTGCTCCCCGTAAATAAGCAAAGAGCGTGATAAAAACACGAATCACAAATTAGCGCAAGGCATTTTTGTTAGAGAGGAAGAAAAAGAGAGCAGAGTGGGAAGAGGCATAAAGGAAATGAACTGAGGAACAAATTAAGCGAATATTAATCGCAAGCCGTTTGGTAAAGAAGAGAAGTGAAGATAAGAGTGAAGAGCTGCACATCATGAAAAGGAAATGAACTTTGAAGCTTTTGTCAGTAATTTATATTGATTGATTGCACTTCATTATTGCTGGTTTTAGCACGTTACCTTCTTACACGTGCTCAAATGAAATCCTCATAATTAATTTAAATTGATTTTATATATTTATCCAGGAAGCTTTGATTGCACATATAAAGTAATAAATTCGTATATTGGCAATTTAATTATGTTTAAAAAAAAACACGAACAATTTGCAACATAACTAAAAACCAGTTTACATAGGCGTATGCAAATTTCTGTTCGTCTAAAATTAAAAAATTCTTTAACACGTTTTATTTATTTTTTCGTCTTATAGTTATTCTATGCAAATAGCTTATATAAACTGTTTATTGCTTTTAAAATACGATAAAACGGAAATTGAGTTTTTTAATTTTCACATTTTCCAATCTAATTGTAGACGGTGACTAAAAGTACACGTTTTCCATACAAAAAATTTGTTTAAAAAAGCCTTTCGAATTTTGTGATTCATGTTTCTAAAAAAAACAATATATTTTGTTTAGACACGTGGGAGAGTACACCATCCAAAGTTTTTACCTTACCGTTTTTGCTTAGTCATTTTTGACTATTTTTGTAACGGATTTGCGGCCTAGCGAACGCCCACAGTAAAAATTTTTGGACTCGGATTTATCGCACAATAATTATTTTTATTATTTTTTAATATTTTATAAAAATATTTGTAATAATTTTTAGCGAAACGTGGGTGAATAAACTTCATGCTGCTTGATTTTTTGCCTAATTTAAAACAACAATAAAAATCAGCAAAAATAATCCACAACAACAACCAGCAACAACAATCAGTAACAACAACAACAAAATGTGGTTGTCAATGAATGAAGCTGTTGTTGACTTTGAGTCGGAGAGCGAGAGTGAATGAAGGCACTTTGTCTGGCAACTTAATGCGAATCGAGTTGGTCAAGAAAGATTAGAGGAAAAAAAACAAGTTCACTAACCTTGAACAAGCTAAAGTCATAGTGTTGTGCAGTGTCTTAAGTGTTGGCTAACGAAATTTACCAGAGTAGTATTTGAAATATATGTGCTAACCTTTTATAGTATAGTATGCTAAGAGCTAAGAGAGAGGAAATGGGTCTTAAGTGTTGGCTAACGAAATTTGAAATGTTTATATGCTTAGGAAGATATTAAGAGATATATCCTATAAGTGAGTTTCTAGTGTGGGTTACACATATGTTAGGTTTTGGGTTTTGTGAATGGTTCTTCAAGTGGTAGATAATGGAAAATGCATATTATTTTTTTAGAAGTAACATATATATATATATAGTTGGTTAATATAACATTGCTTACAGCAGGCATCACTGCAGCAATTTTTATATTGCATTCTAGTATTTGAGAAAGTGAGAGTGAGCAATATCCATTAAATACATGAAACTATGTAATTATGCAATACCAAAAGTTCAACTAATTTTAAAGAGTGTGAAGTTATACATATTTAGTGTTGTGTGATATTGAAGTGTTGGTTAACATAACTATTTCAATATAAATACAAGAAATAATTATAAAAATAATATAAATAAAATATTTCTAAAGATAAAAAAATGTATTGCCTCAGTAAATAATTAAAAATAAAAAAAAAATATTCTGTCCTTAGACTTTATAAAACTGCTTAAGAAATTTATTTTTATGTTTTAATTTTCAATTTGCACTGAATGAGAACAGCTTAATTCATGCACTTATATTCTTACAGCGATGCTTAGTATTTTTCCTTCATATAAATAATGGATCACTTAAGCCCCTTTCTAAAAACCTTTTGGTAAATCCCATATGGCTATGTTTTTTTTCATATCAACTATAATCCATAAATTATTACCTTAAGCTTAACCATAAATCAACAAATATTTATATATGAGAACCATATAGCATTATATATTTAAAAAAATATATCAAAATGTTTTTTTTTGTTATTTAGCTCAAAATGGTTTTCATTTATTTGTTCGCTGTGCAAAATTTATGAGCCAAGAGGCGTTTGCTCGATCATAAAGTGTGGATAAAAAGTAAAGCGCGGCATTATAAATCAAGTTCAATTCAATTAGAGCGCTGGCCTCATAACCTACGACAATTTATTAATAATTTTAGCTCTCGCAGAGATATATCTAAAAACGTAACTGTGTGTGTGTCGAGTGCGTCGAGTGTGTGTGCTTATATAGAAATGGAAATTGCATATGCAAAAAAAAAAAAACAAATCAAAACAAAATACACAAAAAAGGCAAATGTAAATAGAACATAGAAATATGTTGTTGTGGCGCTTAGTTTGCCAGACTTAACAAATATCCTATAAATTTAGAATTTGAAAGAAATCTCGAGCTAAATATGATTGTTTCATAAATGTAAATATATAAAGATTTGTATAATAATTCTTTATATTTTTTTAAACTGTTTTTCATTGAAATTTCCATTTTAAATTTTCAATTTAAAAAATCAAATTTCTTTTTTAAATTTTAAAAATATCAGAGGAATCGAAATATTTGTTTGTGAGAAATAAAATCATTTGCGCTTTTGATATTGAGGCGACTATATTATACATATAACTATATATTATATAATTATTTCAAAGTAATATCTATTCTCTAATAAATTTAGTTAAGAATCAGTTTTGTAAAAGTTTTCGTATGAAAAATATTAACAAAAAATAAATATTAATAAAAATATCTATGTATTGCCACATATTTTTATAGCTATATAAACCGAAAAATATAAATATTTTCAATATGTATAAAATTTAAATCAAGACTTTTAAGACCCCTGCTAGCGCTGCTTTTATGCTTAGAGGGTAGGAAAAAGTAATGAAAGCTTTTCGATATAGACAGTTACTTACACATATGCATATATACGTATATGTATTAATATTTTTGTGCCTGCCTGCATGCATATTCAATAGCCATAAATTGTTAAACAAATGTTATATTGTAATCAATATACAGATGTCTGTGTGTGCGTGTGTCAATAATTTATGCGGAAGTCTCGCCCACACAGAAACATGTTGTAATTGTCAATGTAGCAGAAGGCAGGCGGCTTGTTGGAAGTGGGGGCGTGGCTCTCATACTCATATAGTATTCATATCAGCATGAATTTATACCCATGTAGCACTCATTATTTTGCACGAACAATGTTCGAATGTTGTTAATAATTCAATAACAAAAAAAACACAACAACAAACGAAACGTGCGCGAAACATTTTTCCAATTAAATTGTCAAAAGGAAAACCAAAGCATAAAGATATATATAAATATATATATATAGAAAATTGGTATAAAACACATATACACATTGCGTAATAATTTTCAAGAATTATTTTTGGCCATACGCAAAAGTTGCTATTAAAAAAAGTTTTTTTTTTTTCGAAAATGTGTGGAAAAATTATATTTATGTTCACGACGTGGTTGGCCTTGCCTGATAGGCCACGCCCCAACGCCCACGCTGTGAATGTGGCACAAATTTTGGCACGATTCTAGCTGATCGATAAATACATAAAATAGATAAATATCGACTCACAGCAATTAGTCTATGCATATATATCGCTGATCGGGCTGATCGCATCCATACGACATCGCATTTGCTATTCGATTTGGATTCAAGGCAGCAAAATTTTGCTTAAATTATATATATATTTCTATATTATAGATATAAAATGATATTCCAAGACGAAATCAGTTAAGCTGAAGGCTAGCAATTGCATTGAGTCTGAATTGTCAGCGCGTTGACATGTTGAATGTTAATGAATCGCATTTGCCAATCGCTGTCGACTCTGCTTGAACTTGATGAAAGGCAATTGAAATGATTATTTTATTTGCCATACAGCAAAATACTACATTAGAAATTTTACATATTATTTTTAACATACTTAGACGCTGTTGCCAATATATCGATTTTTAATACTGTTAAATATTTAGCTAAGAACTATTCTTATTTAACAGACGCTGTTAAGAGCCTCAATTAGAAGGCAATTAAGTGAGCTGTTAAGCATGTACTTACAATGTTATGTGATTTCGATTAACATACTGTTAATCTTTCGAGTTAATTTTGCTCCTAACATTTCTTATCTCTTCTGTTATTTGTTTCTGACATAAAAAAGTTAAAGCTAACTCAATTATTATATAGAAAAATATTCTATGAAGGGGACCTTCAACTTCAACTTTAAAGTTTGTAAAAGGTCAATTCGTTTTATAGTGTCTTCTAAACATTCTTTACAAATTATCATAAGACAAGCAAGTAGTTTACTATTAGTATAAAGATCCACTCAACTTTGCTGCTTTTACTTAACAGTGTTCTCATATCATGCAAAGGTCTCTGTAAATTAATCCAATTGCCGCCTTTTGAGATTCACAATCTGCTCCATTATTTTTCTTTGTTTCTGTTATGCTAGTTATGTGTGTGATAGAAATAATAAGTTAACTGTGCAACATATTGATATATTAACAAGTAACTACATTGTTAGGCAATTAGTACAACAGCAACTGTTATACTTTTCATGTTAATGTGAGACATGTTAACAGATACAGAAGTTAACAGTATCTTCGATATTCTATTAACATGTATTTCTAATGTTTAATCAATCAAATTGCATTCTCCAATAGTAAATTAATGCGAGTTTCAAATTCAATTGATATAAACAAAAATATTTAACTTTTCCTGTCCGGCTTTTCTCTTATTGAATAAATATTTGTTCACGTTTATTGTTTATTTTGCTTTTTGTCTAGTTGCCAATTGTATGTAATTAATTTTCGCGTGATTTGAGCTGATAAATGCGGCACTATTGTTGTGGTTAACATAATATTCTGCTCGATTCCAGATGTGATTAAGTTTTTACTATGAAATGTCTTCATAATCAACTCTGATTGACTGTGCCTAACCGCAGCTAGAAGAAATTAATAGATGAGAGCATATATTGTATTGCCTTAACCAGGAACAGTTCAAATGGCAGACATATATAATATATAAATGTTTATAGATGTATATATATATATGTATATAGATGATCTGTTGTCAGTACTTAATGAAGACATTCATAAAAGTCATTGTCAATTTGGAATTCTTGCGCATGTTCTGAACTCAATTGGAATTTTAGAGCTTTGGCTAAGGTCAATGCAAATTGCCTAGATATATGTTGAATATATATAGATATATATGTACATAGATGTATATGCAAATGTGTGTAAATATGTGCTTAAATTTGTGTTTATTGAAAGTGTTTGCCGGCTCTTGTGTTTATTTGTTAAATGTTTAAATAATATTTGTTCTATATGTATTTTGCATAAGCAAATATTTAATTTAAATATATATATATATATATATATATTTATATATCTATAGATATATAGATATCTGTACTCGTCGTACGATTTTTACTAATCTCCGAGCTGTGTGTGTTTTTGAGTGCTAAATTTAGCAAAACGCGTGGGCGGCCTTAGCATTGAATATGGACAAGGCCTGTGACGCGCTATGAAGGCGTCTAACATAATGCTCATTGTCCGATGTGTAGATTACGCATATATTATATATATACTTATAATATATATTTAATTACAATTGCAGAAGCCACAAGCAACACACAACAAACATGTATGTGCCATCATAGGAGAACAGTGAACATATGTTTTGGAGCAGTATCATAGCCAATAAGTAAAGCCCGGAACTAGCAATATAATATATATATATATAAATATATATATATGAACTATAGACAAATGATATACACACATGTGAGTATTTAATTCTAAAGTTTATTTATATTTTCTTAATATTTTGTTGACAAATATATTTTATTTCATTAATATATTTTTCACAAGCATTTAATTTATAAATATTTATTATTTTATTTGTTAACATTTTTAATTTAATTGCTATTTTAGACATATTTCTTATATTCAGCTTAGAATATTTTTATATAATTTACTATTTTAATTTATTTTGAATGTATATTTAATTTCTAAAATGCATATATATTATAAATTAAAAATATTCAAAATAAAAATTTATTTTACAAAAGAAACAAAATAATAAAAATTTTATAAAAATATGTATATTTTATTGACAAAACTTTTAATTTATTATTGTATCTCTATTTTATTTTTTAATAACAAGGCTGATTAAATTTAATTTATAAATACTTTATGTTTAATTCATATTTTCAGTATTTATTTGATATGAACATTTATTTAAGTAAATTTTATATTTTATTTAAAATATTTTTAATTGAATTATTATTATTTTAAGTGTCAAGTATTTTTATATGAATTTGAAGCTATGAATTTTTAATTAATTTATTTCTGATGTTTATAAGAAATAATAATTCTTTTATTTTTTTATTTAGAAATATTGATTCTAATTAATTTATATTTTATTTTCCTTAGATTTTAGAGAGCAGCGCATAGAATTAAAGACCTCACCGTTTTGTGCACTTCATATAAACTATATAAAGCAACACACACACACACCCACACATTTCTACACACACACACACCCACACATACACACAATGGGCAAGGACTACTATAAGACTTTAGGCATAACAAAAACTGCCACCGATGATGAGATCAAAAAGGCCTACAGAAAACTGGCGTTACGTTATCATCCCGATAAAAATAAAGCCGCCAATGCTGAGGAGAAGTTCAAAGAGGTTGCCGAGGCATACGAAGTGCTCTCCGATAAAAGCAAACGCGAGATCTATGACAAATATGGCGAGGATGGACTGAAGAGTGGAGGTGAGCATAAATATGAGCTTTGAACTAGTTCGATTGAGTAGTTGAAATGAACTACTGCAACTCCTACTTAGCGAAAGCGAATATGAACTAGTAGTTCCAGCTCAATTATGAATATGCATATTACTTATCTTCCATCTAATCTATAATTGCAGGCGCTCGTAATGGCGGCGGTGGAGGCAAAAATTCATTTACATATCAGTTCCATGGCGATCCGCGGGCCACATTCACACAGTTCTTTGGCAATAGTAATCCCTTCGCCTCGTTCTTCGATATGGGCGATAATCTGTTTGATAAGAATGTCTTCGATTTGGATACGGAACCCGATTTCTTCTCATCGCCATTTGGCGGTCTGGGCTCAAGGCATGGCCTAGGCAGCGCTTTCAGGTAGTCTAAGACTCACTTTCTCTCGATCCATAACTATTGCTAACTTGTTGTAGGCCCTCTTTTAGATCACACTCCTTCAATGTGCACACCCCCTTCAAAAAGGAGCAGAAACAGGATCCGCCCGTTGAGCATGATCTCTATGTGACGCTGGAGGAGATCTACCATGGCTGTGTTAAGAAAATGAAAATCTCACGTCGTGTCGTCCAGCCCGATGGTAGTTCGAAAAAGGAGGACAAAGTCCTGCAAATATCTATTAAACCCGGCTGGAAATCGGGCACCAAAGTCACGTTCCAAAAAGAGGGTGACCAGGCGCCCGGCAAAATACCAGCGGATATTGTGTTCATCATCAGGGATAAGCCACATGCCATGTTCAAGCGAGAGGGCAGCGATTTGCGATATACGGCGAGGCTGACGCTCAAGCAGGTGAGTGCTAAAGCTGATGGAATCAATGGAAAAGAAAACCTAGTATAAGATTATTGAGAATGAGATTTAGAGGCATATGGAATGGAGTATGCTTAGTTTACGAAATAAGTTAGGAGGTCTATAGATGACATAATAACCTTACACCAAGAGACTAAATTAAGGAAACTAAAATTATTTTCTAAATTTAGCAAAGAATAATAATTAATACTCGAGTGTTTAAAGTGGATAACCAATTGAAAAAACATAATTTTATAGCAATTCTTATAAACTTTATGGATAAAATTTATCGAATATTTTCAACAAATTTGTTATGTTTGTTGTTAGCTCTTGAAGTACTTGAGATCAAATCAATCATATGAGGAGACAAGTGGATAGACAGACAAGCAGATAGACAGCATAGACCGATCGTATCTAAGGGCAGATCTAAGCAGACTTAATGGGATCGCAGCCTCTTCTTGAAATTCTAGACTTTTCATTGCTTAGAAGTGCTAAAGAATTTATTTACATTTGTCCATTTAGAAGGTCAATATATTTTTTTTTTGGGTACAGCCATAAAGCAAATTGCTTATGTTCATGTGAAACGCGGATTTCATGTTAGTTGGCCAAAAGCTAGTCAACTACCAAATCTGGTGGTAGAAGTCATAATTGAAGATATTACCAAATGCCGTCATGCAATCATAATTAAACGCGAGCCGCACGTAAAAACCGTGTCAAATATTTCTAAATAGAAATCGCAAAATGACACTTTTAATAGCTGAAGCTGCGACTCGGCCCAAAGCAGGCGCACATAATTTATATAGATTTGATGAAAAATCATTTCCAACTTGGGCAAAATGGAGAACCCCAAAAATATTTACTAAATTTGTCGCACTAACAAGCAATAAAATGTTAAAAATGTCAAAAACTTAGAGCGCAACTATTTAATCTAGTTAATGCAATTAACAATTTTAACATGACTGTGCAGTGCTCAGCGTGTTAGTTAAACTCTGTTTTATTTTTTTTTTTTACTATTTTTTAATGATTAAAAAATGATTTTTTTCTCGAATATTTTTGTTTCTATTTTTTTTGGTTAGGTTTGCCTGCTGTTTTTTGGTCTTAACGCAGTTGGCTGTGTAAAAATTTAACACCTCAGCGTCAGCGTCAACTGCCGAGCCGATTATATATATATATACATATATATATATATACAGTGTGCGTACGTGTTGGCTTGACCAACTGCTGTGCCCGCCTAATTGAAACTTGACCATGTTGACCAAATTTGACAGCCAGTTAGCCAGCCTGGCAGCCAGTTCGATCGAGTCGCTTGCGTATATGGTAAATTTGCCATAACCATAACGCGCTTTATTCATTATAATTTAATTTAGGCGCTGGCCGGGGCTTTAATTGGGCGCCATACTGTGAGAACTCGGGCTTAAGACCGTATCATATCTTATATTTTGCAATAATGCAAGTCCTAAACGGTTGACAGACAGCCATAAGCTACAGTTAAGGGTCGTAACATGTCGTTAACAATAGGTTTTATTTAACTGTAGCTTAAGAGTCGTTTACATAAATGGTAATAGCTATTCTATTGTTATTTCAGTCTAATCTGCAATGTAACATAATCAAGCGGCAATTTCGACTGTCAAACTTCATGTTAAATGAGTATTAGCTCTGCAAGTTTGCCAAGTTCTGTTCCTTTGTGTTTAAGCTTATGGAATTTGACGCTTATCTATATGCTGATTGCCTTGTCAACTAAATGCTCACAATTTAGATACAAGTTTAGTTATCGAGTCATAAATGCGATTCATTGTAATATCCCTTTTCTAACTTCATGGCATTCGTCAAGTATGGAATAAAAGTTTTTGCTGTTGCCATGTCTTTCCGTTAAAGTCTATGTTTAATTGACATCAACCTACATAACTTGCTGATCTTTGAATTTATTGTGAACATTTGTTAAGTCAAAGTTCATGCTAATTAGCTGATTTGACTCGAACTGTTATTAGTCTATTCTCAATTGTTCAATTATTTATGAGTATACAAAGCCGTAAGACAGAGTAAATTTACGTGTTGTCACATTTTGCTACCTTACTATGCGATTCTCATGATTCAAAGTAAGGCAAAAAACATATTTTGTTAAATTTAGACACATTTTCTAAGCAACAAGTTCTTTTTTGTTTTATCTCCGCTCTGTATCATTATTTCTCTCTCACTCTATCTCTCTTTATCTCTTTCTATCTCTCTTACATTTACTCTTCTCTTTTATGGCACTTCAGTCTCTATCATGCTTTCTCTTTCAATTTCTCTCACATTTTGTCTCTCAGTTTTTCTCTCAGTCTGTCTCTTAGTCTCTTTCTCTCAGGCTATCTGTCTCCTTCTTTCTTTTTCCCTTCTCACTCTGTCTGTTCCTCTTATTCTGTCTTAATTTCCCTCTCTCTGAGTTGTTGTGTAATATTGGGATTCCGTTCCGTTTCTTCTATTACAGCAAATATGGATCGCCTATAAAATCAGTTTATTATAATAATAAAAAAGTTTTTTTAAAACAGAATTTACATGAAATTCTTTGTTAATTTTGCCTGTTTTTCCTGTTTCGCACCATAAATCTTGCATATTTCATATTCGCATTTTTGCAAAAGAAAACAGTATAAATGACATATTTCCTTTTTTTGGCGCAATTTAAATTTTTATTCGGCTTACAAAAGTGCGCCGTAAAGCAATTAAAGCGCCATATAAGTACTTCACATAATTGGCCGCAGCAATATAGAATTCTGTATTTGTTGTTGTTGCCTTTTGTTGAGCATTAAATTTAATATCGACCATAAATTACATCATCGTTTACGATAAAATACCAAAAAAAAAAGCAAATAATTTTTAGATGACATTTAATATTCGAGTGAATCACAGTTAAAATGGGTTCATTAAAATATGGATGCTCTCTCATGGCACTGACCTACAACATATATTTGCAATAATAGAAATATTTGATAGATATATATATATATATATGTATAGAGGTATACCTGTATATATATTCAGTCGTGCATTTTAGATGGAATGCAAATTCAACAGCTTAATGTGAATCATAAAAATGGAACTGTTGACAGAGATGTGAACGACTGCGTGATGCTCGTTCAATGAGAGTAACCAAGAGGTTAGCAATCGATAGAGTCTAAAGAAAATCTTAACAGTTCGATTGAGTATTTCAGATAATGAAGAAGCTTATAAAATCTAGTTTTAAAGCAGCTCTTAAAGGCATCTACAAGACTTCTTTTTACAAAAATATTTTTTTTTTTTAATGTCTGTAAATGTAGCTAGATCATTTAATTATCATTAATTTAATTCAAGAGCATGTATCCCATGGGGACTACATCAAGACAACTTGTTGGTATAACAACTAATATACTCTTCTTTAATTTCTAAACAAATATCTTACAAAGAAAATTTAGCTATAGTACGAGTAACTCGACTCTTAATTAAACTTATTATTAAATAAGCTGACTGTCATTAATATTAAAAAAGCTATATACCCTTCTTCAATTGTGAACTAGCATAAAATCTGCTCTTCATGTTTGCTAGCCATCTACTCATTAGAGCTGAACTATTAACTCAACCAAATTGCAAGCCCAACATTAAACACAACTAATATACCCCTTTAGTTGCGCTGCGAGCGAGCATTAAAACAAAAATGTTGACGCTTTGAGTGTTTGCGTCAGCATTTCGCGAATGCTGCAGCAACCCTAAAAATTGATGAATGCTAAACAACAATTGAACGTTGTCCTCTCAGTCCTCTCAGTCCGCCTGTGGCTAGCTGCTGTAACTGATGGCCAGACATCACAAATTTTGTTGTCGTTGCTGTTGCTGTCCGAAATGTTCACTGGCCATTGTCAATTTTGGGCTGGAGAACTTTTCAACTGCATAGAATTGGTGGCTCAATACAAAAAGCATTCCGTCGGCTTCGTTTGCATTTTGATGACAGTCGTCAGCGTCCTTCACATTGTCAATCTATACACAAAAAAAATAGAAAAAATTGAAAAAAAAAAAAAACAAGACAAATAGAACAAGCAAATGCTTTATGACATGCTATTGAAACGTCGTTGATTTGTTTTCCAAAACACTTTTGCAGTCGTAATTGTCTAGCCAAGTTGCAAAATGGTGGAGTTTGCTGTTTGTTTGTCGTTTCTGTGAGTTAGACTAAAGTAAACTTTTTGAAAATATGTAAATTTTCTTTTTAATTATGTGAAACCTAAACATTTTCTACGTTTTAATTCTTACGTGCAAATTTGAATTTGTCAATATTTAATCAAAAATGTTGTGTTTTGTCTAATTTTTCAAAATTCTGTCCAGATATTTTTTTCTTCTTGCTTGTCTTTTTTTAAGTCTTCTAAAGGGACTAAGTAGAACCATCTAAAGATGTTTAACCTTTCAGACTGTAGACTAAAAGTAGTCTCTTGGCCTGCGTTTTATGGTGTTCTTAAATTTCCTCAAATTTACATAATTATTTTTATAATTATTTTTTTCAGTAAAAAGGAAAATTGTATAATTAAATTAAATAAAATTGATAGAGAATTTGGTGTTCAATATTTTCTTTTTTAATATTTCTGAAGCCTATTCAAGCAAAATATGAATTTAAAAATATATTCAAAAATCTATTTTTAATTTAGTCAAGCTTCTTAAAACATTTTTATATATTTAATAATTTTAAGTAAATTTTATTTTTGATTTACTTAAATATTTCTCAAGCTAAGCAGGAAGTTTTTTGCTTAACTATTTGCCTGCTGACTTTTTAAAGTTCTGTAAATTTTTTTATTATTATTCATGTTCGAGCTTCAGAACCAGTTGCCATATTTGGCTACAGATTTGTGCCCTTATCCACTACGCCCATATGTATGATGTACGTATGTGTGTGTGTATATATGTATATTGCGCTCTCGTACAACAGCTGATCCAGTTGTAAATGAAACGCGATTCGCAATTTGTATTCCTTGTGCTCGCTTTTTTGGTTCAGGTTGAGGTTTTTATGGCTCAGCTTCCGTAAAAGGTAGCAAAGTATTTTAAGCGTTTTTCTGTTACAGATTATTGTAGTTGTTGCTTTTTATTTACTTTGCTTTTAGTTTTTTAACTTTTGTTTTTGTTTTTTTTTTTTGTTTTTGAGCTGCGTTACGACAACATTTTTAACATTTCCATTAAAAATATCAATGCTGGCAGCGTCGTCATCATTGTTGTTGCTATTGTTGTTGTTGTTGTAGCCGTCGTCATCAGTTTATGTTGTCATCGCTTTAAATTCACCAGACTCTCGTATACTCTGTATAACTGTATGCATGTATGTATATGTATATGTATATATATATATTTAAATATTCATAAGGTGTGCACTTTGCTTTTGTCGCAATTTATTTATGTTCTTTTTTTATGTTATTTGAGCGCGTCGCGCTATACACACATGGTTTTATGTTCTGGGCCAACTGTTCGATGCGGGTAACTGGGTATCAAATCACATAGATATGCCTTCTGTGTTTTTTACTGTGTATACATATGCAAAATGTCGGATTTTAGTTGTTAACAGTCAAAGGAAATGTTTATTTTAGAAGAAAGGCGCAACTGATTTATTGTACTAGAGGTGAAAGAGAAACATTTAAGTTTTATATAAAAAGAAAATAGAAATAAAGCAACTTAAAACTATTGAATATATACTTTGCTTTGCAATAAAGAGCAGCTTATACTAAACTAAGAGAAAGAGAGAGCTGAAGCGATTGATGGAAGATTGATAAGTTTGATGTACAACATCTGCTCAAAAGCTATGGAAAATTTAGCTTCTTTCTTCATTAGTTTATACTTTTGATGAAGCCTCTTCCAAAAATCTTTTCTGGACAACTTCTGCAGTTCCTCCTGCTGATGCTGCCTTTAGCTCTGCAATCGTAACTTCGTGTTGTTCTGTTTTGCAAACAAGAAAAAGTTATTGCAGCTCAGCCCTAGGATTTTATGTTGACTGTGTCTAGTTTTGTTCAAAACTTTGATACAGATTCTTTCATAATTTTTTGAAATTGTCAAAAGTCGAAGTAGAGGGAAAATCAGTGTCAATGCAAGGAAGCAATCAAAAGTTAATTGAGCATTCAAAAAGGTTTAAATTGTCGGCATAAAGGGAAAACATCAGGGTAAATATAATATCAAATTGAATATACGAAATCTTCGGGAAATTCAAAATTCGTTTTATTTTTTAAACAAACCTCGTAGATAGGGCTGAGCTTATAATTTTATGAAATCTTAATGCATATTTCAAATCTAGACAAATGCATTAGCTTTCAGTTAAACGCATTTAACTCAGGGTGTATCTTAAATTTGCTATCATATTCCAAAAAAAAACTTTTCTAAATGTTCTTAAACTTTGGCATCTTATATGAAAGAAATGTATTGAAACAAGAGCCACAAAAGTTTTTGTCTACAACAAGTTTTTGCGCTACTAATTAAGTAGAGTACATTCATATATATAGATAAATATATATATAATATATATTTCCAAACAAATCATGATTGATGGCTATCTTTTAGTCTGGCCAATTAAACAAATCGAATGGCAGTTGAGGCCAATGAAATCGTCTGCAATGGATAAACAAGAAATAAGGATTTGCGGGTGGAAAGCGAGAGCCAGACACAGAGATACAGAGAGATAGAGCAGACAGATAGAGGGGCGTGAGCAAAGAAACATGTCAACAAGATGTTTAAACACGAATTAGGCACATAAAATGGTATAAAAAGGCATAAAAAGGATTTATGCAAGACACAAAGCAAACACAATACAAAGACGAGAGAAAGTTTTTTGCTTTCGTTTGCTACTGGGACAGGCGAGGAACATAAACAGGATTACCCGAAAAAAGATTGATAGATTTTCTATTTGGTTGGCAATAACAATTTAGAGGAAATTGAGTTGCTTAGCCATGGCGAAGGCAATGTATTTGATTGATAATAGTTTTATATATATATAAATTTATTGATATATGTTTTTGTGTTTTTTGTTGTTGTTTTCTTTCAGGCGCTTTGCGGCGTTGTCTTTCAAGTTCCTACAATGTCTGGCGACAAACTGCGCATCAGCACCATGCAGGAGATCATCAAGCCGAACACTGTGAAACGCATCCAGGGCTACGGACTGCCCTTCCCGAAAGATACGACACGCAAGGGCGATCTGCTGGTGGCCTTCGATATACAATTTCCGGAGAAATTGACTGCCGCGCAAAAGGAAGTGCTCAGAGACATGTTATAGAACATATTGAAAGAGATGAAATGCAGAAGAGAGAAAACGCCGCCTTTAACCACGACACACAAAACACACGACTCACTCACTCACTCAACTCTCCAAGCCAATATGCCCCTGTCTCCTGCTCCTCTTCTGCTGCTAGTTAGTCATACTAAATCCAAAATCTTTTATCTCCAAACTTATTCACGATTGAGCATTGAATGTGTCATCAAAAATTTCAAAATAATAATTTTTATAATAAACCAAACAAATCAATCCCCACCATCCGTCGAGCTGCAATAATAATAATAATAATACATAGCTGTTATATCGTCATAATTCTTAATTTATTTGTCTAAATTAAAGCTACGTATAATAATAATAAAAACACAAAAGTAAACAAGAAAACGTGAAAAACAAGCGAATCGATCAAATTAAATGTTTATTATTTCCCTTGAGAAAACTGAGGAATCAGAAGAAAGCAATATAATTGATTGACAAATTATATGAAATGATGTATAAACTTGGGTAAGTCCTATCTTCTAGGTATATATATGCTTAACAGGGCTGTTCCTTCGGAATTGTATTGAAAATTTTTCAATATTGAATTTTGTTTTTTAAAATATTTATGCTTTTATTTTCAGTTCAAAGCGAATCAGAATCTTTGCGATACTGAGATGCTTTAGACGCTGTTTGTTTAGTTTATTTATCTGTTTAGTTTTACAAACACTTACTGTATACATATACAGTGCTGTTCAACTGAATAGGTTTGTATTTTCAAAAGTTTCAAACGGTATATCTTTTTAAAGAAAACAGCGATTATAATGAAATAAGTTTTGTTATATAAAAAAAGGGAGCAGTTATGATAGAATCAAACTACTATTTCAATTTTATTTATTTTCTCAAGAGCATGACAAAACCTGTGCATTTATTTAGGCTGTCGAGCTGTAGAGCTGCCGGCTATGCCAACAACATTCTCATTCGAACTATGCTCAAACTACGAACGCCGGCTGAGTGAGATCAAATCACAGCTCGGAGAGTGTGAATGAGCAACAAAGGGAAGAAAAAGGCACGATTGAGCTCAATCTCTTAACAACTTAAATTGTTTAGCTCGCTCTTAAAATAATCTGCTGATCGTGATGTTGATTGCTTATAGCTTATGGCGTTGACATATCAGCTGGAGAAGTCAGCTTTAAGAGATAATTTTTTTATAGCAAACAGAGAAGTTAGAAAATATATATTTGTAGTAACTTTATTTCAAGAACTACTGGCTTTTATCATTAGAAAATATTGGTGGCTTTATGCATTTCGTTGCTACTACTGCTACGCTGTAGCCAGTTGTGAATTCTATTGTTGCAGAGTGAAGTGAGCCTCCTCTTTAATGGCTCACAAAATTTTGCAAATTTAAGTTCACTCGGTCAGAGCAAAGAAGTCATTGGATAAGTTAGATCGAAATATGTATTGAATATTTAATTGTTAGCTGGAGCTTAGTCAATCCGCAAAACCAGTTTTCTTCTCTGAACTTTTAGTTCTCATCGGAACTATAGCATGACCATGCATGTGTGCTATTATTTTCGATAACTACATTTGAGCAGTTTTTTAATTTATCGATCACTTCTTGCTGTTGAGATAATGATTTTTTTATGCCTGCCAGACGTGTGGATAAAATGCAAAAAAAAAATTAAATAAATTTCCGTCTCGGTTTTGTAATCAAAATAATAATCGTAGACAAAAGCTTCACAGTTGTTGTCAAAATTTATGCTCATGTCAACTAAGTCATTGACAACAGCTAAAGATAAACAAAAGTTATACTGCCCTGCTAAAGTTTAAAAATGTTTACATTGAACTGTTTAGTAAATGTTTTTAATACCAAAATCAAAGTTGGACTCAAGCTAAGCAAAGAGTGAACAGTTGTGAAAGGAAAAGTGGAAATTGCATGCATGTGTGGGTGTATATGTGTGTGTGTGTGTGGTAATCGGAACGCGTTTGCCTAATTAGCTGCCGTTGGCAGCAGTTGGCAGTTGCCAGTTGCCAGTTGTCAAAGGAACTTGGCCAGCGTAGAGCTCGTTAAGTCATTAAAACTGCATGAAGTCAAAACTTTATGGTCTGCAAAGTTTGCGTCAAAGCAGAAGCAAACCCCAAAAAATAAAAAAAAATAAAGCAGAAGCAGAAAAAGAGAAAAAAAGTTGGAAGAAAAAGCTCTGGAAAAGTGGGCAGCAAATGCAGAAGAAACCGAGTAACAACATCAAAGCCGGCAAATGGTAATTCGTTTAAAAAGCAAAGCCAAGGCCGGGCCACAGACGCATTTCATTTGCAGACAATAAACTGGACAACAACAACAAAAACAAGACGAGAGTCTAAATAAATTAAATTTTGAAGAACTCTTTGCATACAAAATAGACGTAGCCAAATGGAGCCATGAGAGCGACTGCTTAATGCTCGTTCAAGAGAGAAAAATAAATTGAGATATTATTTTATAGCTCATGAGAGCAGCTTTAGACCTGGCATCTCTAGGAAACATACTTAGCTTGTCTTCTTTTCGACTAACGAAAAAAACAGCGAGAAAAAAAATTGAGATATAATTTGATCTATCTTGAGACTATCTTAAAATAAGCTGAACCAAAATTTAAAACTTCGATTCGATTTGTCGTGCATTCAACTGCGAAATATTCGCTCGAATTTTGAAAATTTATTTATTTATTATTTATTTATTCTAAGCTTACAACTGATATCCATATTTAATTCATATGTCGATTTTCAAATCTAAATTTTTTATTGCACTAATTTTACACATCACAAATATGCCGCTTCACTTTTCGAGCGAGTATATTAGCACACGGCCCCCCAGGCAATGCAGTGTGTGGCCTGCAACCGATATGGGGCGCTAACGCATTGACAGCCCAAAAATCTGTCCGTTCCTTCGCCTGGCACTCCGAGTATCTTCTTAGTCTTTAGCCTGGCGCAGCATTGTAACAATTCGTTGCGATTTTCCACTTGTTTTGAGAGCGAGAGACCTCAGCATCGCATCCACCCACTGCTAACGTAGGCAGTCGAAGGGGTTGCACTGTGGCAGACTCAAATCTCGGCATCGACAGCGGGCAAATGTGTGAATTGAATTTTCAAACAATTTCTGTTGCAGTTCGGCTTTCTTGTTCCTTTTCCTTTTCACAGGGCCCAGCACACGTTGCCCCCTGTGACTGCGAGTCACCCTGTTGCCCACGAGCAAGCAATGTGCACAGAGCTTTCTTATGCGCTGCTGCAGGTACTTCAACTATTTAATGTGAGCTGTTTCCTTGTGGAGTTTTTTAGGTATATATATAAATTATGTTACAGTTATGTTACATAAATTTTATGTAATTTTATATTTATATATATTTATATAGTATTTACATAGTATTTTTACGGTATTTATATTGTATTTATATAGTCATTCCTTAAGCAATGCTTCACAGTAGTTTTAATGTGAAAGGTATATATAGGAAAAGTTATTGAGTTATATGAGCTATGATTTATTAATTTAGCTGTAAGGAATTGAAGTTTAAGATATGGAAATTAGTTTTAATATAAGTAAGTATATACATGCCATAACTGTTATGTTGATAAGAGCTCAAGCTATATTATGAAATACTCTACTTTTATTCAAGATACTTGTACCAAGTACTCAAACAAATGATCCTCAGCTGATAATAGTTTCTATAGATAAAATTTCTTAGTATTAAAAAGCTATGCAAATCATGTAATTGATAAAAAATGTATAACTTTTTGGAAGCTGTTGGCAGCTTTGACTCCAATTCAATTTACGAATGTTGAATTAAAGGTTTTTTAGTATATACAAATATATAGAGAGGAAGAGAGAAAAGATTAGAATGCTACTATTCAAACTGAAAAAAGCAAGCAGTAGAAGTAGGGAGCGTAGCAGAATAGGCACTCAAAGTAAATGTGTGCGATGTCTCTAAAGAGAAGCCAAACTTAAGAACTTAACTTCAGAGAGTTTATTAGACGAATGCTTATGAGCAGCTGTAACGCAGAATACTAAAAGACTTCTTTAAAAATTTTCAAAATATTTTCTTAAAATACAGCAAAGATCTTAGCTTGACTTTTGATATAAATTTAATTGTGTTAAAAATCAATCAGTGAAAGAAAAGCTCTTTAGAGCCATGTGAGCATCTTCAGCATATCAAAGTTAATTTTTTTATTGGCCTACAATTTGATAACTTGCTTAGACTTCCAAGTTTCCTAATTATAATTGCTAGTTCCAATGGCAAACATTTACTTTTAGGCCTCTTCTCGACAGGCTTAGTTGCATAGAAAGATTTTCTTCATAGTTTATTAAGCACAATTTGAAGAGCATTTCAAGTGCGTTACACAACTTTCGATTTCCTTTGTTATTTCGTTTCGATTTCGGTTCTGCTTTGGACTTGAAACGTGCATGATTTGAGATTTGATTTGCTGTGCGGCTGCGGCAAACGCGCTTTTGGCTACATTACAACCATGACGGCTGCTGCTGCGACTCCTTCTGCTGCTGCGACTCGTGCGACTGCTGCTGCTTGTGATCCTTAACCAACTGGCTTTGGCTCTGGCTCTGTTTGTCCTGTCGCATCCTGTCCGATTCGTTTGTGTTTGTGGCGGCATTTTAAACATTTCGCTCACGTTTCGGATGTTTATGCCATTAGCGTTTAAGTTCCCATACGAAATGCGAAACGGTTTGCGATTTTCCCTTTTGTTCAACTCCGATGGCTAGAGTGGGGGCTGCTTTGACGTGGGGCGTGGCACATTGTTATTTGTAATCGATGCTATTGCGACTTATTGTAAATTTGTATGGAGTTTAGGGAAGGGAATATGGTTAAATGTGATTGGGTCGTTAGATATTATATTTTATATAATATGATATGCATATGATATATATATATATGTGATATGTTATATATGTATATGTGATATATGATATATATGCTATATATATGGTATAGATTTAAGAGAAGGGAGCTCTTAGGCATTCTCCGATATAAATGATATCATATCAAAATAATGTTAATGTTAACTAAAACTTCCTCTTAAGCAGTATTAAGATTTATAAGCTTGCTTTAAGTGTTATATCTATAAGCTATTATATTCTCCAATTTTCCAGCTTCTCGCATCAGACAATTTGTAAGTTCAGCCAAGTTTCTGTACCTTTAAAGTTACCTTGAAAATTATAATTTAATAATAAATAATTTAATAATTTAATTGAAAATTAAGCCTGCTTTGCTAATCTCGCTTAAGCACTTTCATTAACTAAACTTCTCCATATTTGCATATTTATTTTGAGGGAATACCACTAATATACATTATAGAACTCTTATGTTTGGCAACAGGGACAGCAATCGGTGTTGCAGGCGCTGAGGTTGAGATCGATTCGATCCAAGCCCTCGGACATGCCCCACCCATTGCTAGTCACTGGCGCTTCAGATGTAAGCTCGCCATCTATGTAATCCTGTTCCAAGTGCTCATTCCCAGTTTGCAACTGTGTATTCGAACCGTTCACATTCAGCTGGCACTGGCAGTTCGCATGCAGCTCCAGGACGGGCAGCTCCACCTGAGTTTTTGGGTTCGTTCGGTTTTTTTTGCTGTTTCGTTTCTTTATGCGCCGTTTTTTGTTGCGCTTCTTTGGATTACTGTGAATCTTGTGTCTGCTCGTCGTGGTTCCTGTGATGGCTGCCTGGATTTCCGACTCGTACAGGCGCTGGTGTCTCTCGGCTGTTTTCGTGAGCAGAGACATCGTGCTATAGCGCGTGTTGATGTGGTCTATAGTCTGCAGCGTCTCCTCGAAGGCCACCTCCAGCTGCTCCACGGTCTTCAGCGTCTCCCAGAGTAAAGTGTTCTTCATCATTTTGTTACTTAAAATTTGACTTGTGTTCAATTATTTTTTGATAATAAATGCTGAGATTTTACAAAGTTATTTAGAATATTTCTTAAATAGCCTTTACTTCAGACCCAGGTATACTCCTTGCATTAGCGAAAGAAGTATAGTTATACATATGTGTCTATATAAATCTATATATATGTATCTATATACATGCTATACCTACAAATCTCATGCAAATTCCGTTTATGACATTTGTTTTTGCTATGCTCTAGCCTCATTCAGCTACATATCCATGAAGCAGCGTTACGACATGTCAAACATGGGTAGTCTATGTATATGGAAAAATGTTGATAAATTCCCGAATACCCGAAGGCCTCAAATTTAATGGTAAAATGTGAAAAATGTGCACAAATTAGGGGCTGTCATAGCTCGCATATCTGCGCATTATTAACAGCTCCGCCCACAACTGCGCCCAAAAGGAAAAAGCAAAGATAGGCAAACTAAGCTCGGGCTCATATACAAACCAACTGTCTATACATCACAGGCACAGGCACACACGGCCAGGCGTAGGCGGATGGGGGAGTGCAGCATTATAGGGGATGTTGCGAAGGCGAATATCTTTTCATAATGCGCGCTGCGCAGCGCTGCCAGCGACTGAGAAAGTAGTTTCCATTTCCGCAACACGAGCCAACATGCAAAACAACAGGGAAAAATGTGAAAGCAGCAGCAGAGCCAACAAATATGAGTGGCTTTAGTGGCAGTGATGGACTGGCAGATACCCTAGCAGTCAAGGAACTTTAAACATTGCAGCAATCTATACAAAACTAAAGTTCAGAAAGTGAAGGACTAACGGATGTCAGGGAAGCTGAAGATAAAGAGAGAGAGAGAGAGAGGGGGAAAGCGATAGACAGTGGGAAAGCTATTTGTGTAATGATAAGACTTTAGCTTACGTACTCTAGTTCAATAAGTAAAATATGTATGGTATAAACGAATCTACAGAGCATTTATTTAATTTATATTTATTTATTTTTATATTTAAACAACTACAAGAAATGCTAAAAAATATATTTTATGTATCGATTTATATCGATTTTATGAAGGAAAATTAAACCTAAATGACGGTTTATGCTTATCCCGAGTAAAACTATATAGACCTTGAGGAACTCCATACCACACACGTCCATAAAACTCTTTAGTTCTTAGTACTCTTATAGTTGCTCTCAGTCAATCATTGCTTCTCACAGACAAACAACTCATCCTACCCTATACAGCCCCATCACGCATGCCCCCATCAAACCCATATACCTCAGTCCGCCGCTTTAAATGCTTGCTGGGTATAAAAATTGGATTATATTAATTTGAATTAATAACATATTTTCCGGCAGACTTTTCCTCTGGAATGTTGTTATGCTATGCCAGGCAGCTAGAGATGGGAAAAACACTCGCAATTTTCTTGTTATAATTTGCTTGTCTATGCGCAACGAGGCGCGTTCTGATTTATGCTATGCGTAGCTTGAAGGACTGCTATAACAACCAACCTACCTAACTACCTACCTACCTGCCTACCTACGTCCTCTTCATTTGTCTGCATAGCTATTGTTGTTGTTGCTGTTGCTGCTGCTGCGAGGTATTCGCCTCATTAATGTGCTCTTAATTTTAAGTTAATTTGCATTGGCATTTAACGCAGAGTTCAGTTCGACTGTTTGTAGTTTTCGGTTATTAAGTTCTGTACAGTGGTGAGTGCCTATAATGCATGGTATTCTAGCTTTCAATTTGTAGTAAAATGTTGCAAGTGCAGCAATTAATATGATTTAATATTATAATTTTTTATTAATATAATTTTAATATAAAATTTTTCAAGTTCAGTTAAATTATTTTGCCTTTTGCTTTTAAGTATTAAAATTATTTATTTTTTAATATAAACAAAATTTAAAATTTATTGAAACTTTTAGTGTTACTCTTAGTATTTACTTAAATAGTCTTATTTAAATATTTAAAATTTTTTTATTAAAAATTTGTTGCTCAAGAAATTTGATACAATATTTAAATTGAAATTTTTTCATTGTTTTTTTTTTTTAGCAGTTTTGGTTTATTGAGTTTAAAGAGAATATCTTATGTCTGCTTGAACATAGAACTGAAAAATATTTTTTGCTATTTGTGGTATTTAACATCAATTCAGTTATCCAAAAATTATTTAAATAAAATTAAATTTTTCATGTAATATATAAATAATAAATATAAAAATAATTTGACTTAAAATATAGATTTATAGAAGAAAGGTGGGCAAGATAAATATATGAAATTTAAGCTCTGATCTCACAAATTGTTTAATGATATAAAAGTATTTGAAATATCTAAAAATATATATAAAGTGAAAAAGGATAGAAAAATTTCTGGATTCAATGAAGATGTTAGATAGTTAGACAGTTAGTTAATGTTAATGTGAATTAGGCAATTGAGTTGTCTTAAAGTAAAAATTTAACAATCAACGAATGTGAATCGAATAACTGAGTCATATCAAATTAAAAAAACAGGAAATCAGTATCAGGAAGTTAGCAAGAGATTTGATTCAATATGTAAATCAAATTTAACAGATTTATTCAATTGACACATAAGAAATAGTTTCAAGAATCAAGAAGTTGAAATTAAATATAAAATAATACGAACCTTGAGCAATACTTCTAAAATTTTTCAAAATAATTTGAAATATTTAAAGCTGGATTTAAAATTAAGTCCCATCGCAGTGACAAATCATGGAAAAGTGAGACAAGACTGGAAGAGTTCAGGAATCTAGGAAAATAATTGAGTCAAAATGCGAAACCGAATATTCAGATTTATCAAGGAAAAAATTAATTTCATAATGATTTATCATGTCTGAAATATTTATTATATATTTCACATTAGAACCAATTTTCACTTTAATGACGGTTTACAGTTTATGGAATTTGAAGTCTCATTGGCTTTTGGCTCAAGTTTCGAGTTTCAAGTGCTTAAAGTGCATTGAGATTGAACCGATGCTGGAGTGGAATGAGAAATGTGCAGCATCAGTTTCGGACCACATGGACCACATGCTAACCCTTGCCTACTTCCTTTTCTCAGCTAAACCCATTGCCTTTTATGCTTTGCCCCCATTTTTCCCCATTTCGATTTCTTTTTTTTTGGTCAGTTAACAGTGCAACGCAGCGGCAATTTATTGACTGTATTGAGACGGGCTACGTGCCGCACATAAACCGCACTTATCTGGCTGACTGACTAACTGACTGAATGCCTCGCTGCCAGCTGCTTGGCCGGCATTTGCTCTGCTTTGCTGCGTCCTGCCATTGAAGGGCGATAGCAGCCAAGTCGAAGAAAAATTGCATGCGGTTTCGAGAGCAGCAGCTAAATTAATGTGTCTGTCCGTGTGCGGTGCACAGCCAACTGTTCCCCATGCCCCCCTTTCATGCCACTTGCTTTTGCGTCCGGCTGGCTCTGCCCCGCCCGCTGCAGCATGAACTCTTAAGCAAATACTCGTAAACGTGCCCGTGGCATGCATATCAAAATGATGTATGCGTGTTAGATATGTTATAAATTTTATTCTTGCTTCAACTTCTACTTATCTGCTTACTCTTTTCTCCATTTGCACACACACAGCCACAGCCACAGCCACAGCTGCAATCAGTTATTAAACGCTTGACTGATTGACGGGCGATGCCATTTGATTCTGATTAGAAATGAGCAGCCACAAATAACAAATAGAAGAATATAAGATAAACAGGCAAAGAGAGAGAAGTTAAAAGGATAAATATATATGTGTAGAGTGAGAGAGAGAGAGAGAGAGAGAGAGGGAGAGCTGTACTGTTTGAGCTTGTCCTGAGTAAATATTATAAATAGAGTTGGAACTCAAGTTTTGACTAGACAAACATTGCCTTATCCAAAGAAGAAGGAAAAGAAAGAGAGATAGACTTAGAGTCATAAGTAGTCTAATTATATAGAAGAGAGCGCAAACGAGAGTGAGAGACAAGGAGAATGGGAGAAAAGAAAAGAGAGAGAGAGAGAGAGCAAGGGGGTAGCAGAGAAGAAGAGAGAGAAGAGAAGTCAGAGAGTGAAAAGCGCATAGAGAGGTATAGCGTGGAAGGGGTGCTTAGAGTTACATCCAAAGCAAGAGAGAGAGGGAGCAGGAAAAAGAGTGAGCGAGATAGCATGCTGTTCTTATCCTATGTAAATAATAAGTAAAAGCTAATTTCTTTTAAGGTAAAATTAGGATTGTAGTATGAAAAAGGTTGACACCTTTAGATGGATAAAAAAGTACAAATAAATTTATTTTATGTATTTATAAATTTTCTGTAATTTTGCAAGTTATTTAGACGATATGAAGATATTATACAAAGGCTAAACAAGAGAGAACGAGTTAAAGAAAGAGACAGAGAGAGAGAGCTGAGATAAAAAAATATAAATTTAAATTTTCCTTTATCTTGCTTTAAGGAATACTTGGATTTCAATGCTGATGGATTTAGACTGGGTCTAAATTGTGGCCTTCAGCCTGAGTTATTTGTGAATGTTTGAAAGTATATTATATTTCTTTATTTTATATTATGAACGAGTATTTTGAAGTCGAGTTTTCATGTTTATGGTTTGCTAGGTACGCACTCTAAGAGTACAGGCTAACTACAAAGATTCTTACAAGCTTTAGTCTAAGCTACTATATCGCTTGCAGCCCTTATCATTCAATTAAGCAGTACCTCTTAGAAACCATCGATGACGTAGCTAATCCTCCTGCTTCTTTCGTTCATTTTGACTAGATTGTCAGTCATTTTCAGCGCACGTTACTCAACACTGCATGGCGAGGGGTGCTCAGGCAGCAGCTACTTAGCATAACTGCTGCATACTTGAGAATGCAGCTGAGACCCGGCAGCCGAGGGCCAGATAATTGTGAATCCCCAACACGAGTTGCGCTTTAAATGAAGTGAAAGTCGCACTTTTATTTGTATTAAATATTTACGACAAAGCATCAGCAGGAAAAGCAATTTCCAAAACGTGGCGCACTGCAAAGTGAAATTCAAGTCCAAAGGGGCGTCTTGGCGAGGGGTAAGTGCAGCACTTGAAAGTGCTTTTCGCTGCTTCACTCCAGCTGCACTTGGGCGAGAGCGTGGCAGCGTGGGAGCGTCGGTGGCAGTCATTAGATCTGTTAAAAGCGTCGCGTGCGCAGCGATTCGCCTCGTTTGAGTATCTCCTCGAGGCGTCGCCTCTCCTTGGCTGTCAAAACCTTTTCCAGTCTTTGCAGCGTTGAGTTGATTTCCCGTTTCGAGTGCAAAGGCAGCCAAAGCGTTGTGATCGAAAACGTTCTGGAAGACACGAAGTGCATGTTAAAAGTTAACATGCAGTTAAATATATGTTCAAAATGCTTAAGAAGGGGATATACGTGAATGTTATTTGTAAGTGTCAAATAAAGCTTTAATCGATTGCTGTCAAAATTTAACTGCCAGTTAAATTGTTGTAGAAAACTCTTGCATTTAAAAGAACTCCTGTCAGGAGCTAACAGCTGTTATGAAAATAATTATTTAGGTGTTAAGTATATGTTACTTGTCTTAAAAAGGAAGCCAGGAAATATTACATTTAAACAACTTGTTGTTAAGTTTTGACATTCAGTTGGGCATATTTCTAATGACTTATGCCAAGTATTATATTCCTTAAGGCTGCTATCAAATATAAACATGCAGTTAAGTATATAGAAAATCTTATTGTATTATGGCTTAGCAGCTTCCTGTCAAAAATGACAGGCAGTCAGGAGATGTGAAACATTTCAAAGAAGTTTTTGTCAAAATTCAATAGATCAAATTCAGTAATCGAAATATTTGACAAGCAGTCAAATAAACTCAAGGAAATGCAGTAGATCTATATAGGATGGTTTTCCTCTAAGCTTAACTATCAGTTAAACATATATTGAAGGTATACTATATATATACATATATATTATATGATATTAACAGTCGGTTAAATATATTTGTTGCTGTAAAAGTTCACTCTGTCAAATTCTGACAAGTAGTCTATCTGAATGTTAACTATCTGACACTTAGTTAAATTTATATTACTATCTATTTTCTTTTTGACAGTTAAGAGCGCATAGCTTCTTGCAATTAAACCTCTTGTCAATTTGAACTGTCAAACTGAGTTGCGAATTGTTGTAAATTGGAGCTGGCTAATTGAATTCTCAGAATGTGTTCGCTCACCTGTGTACGCGCATTGCGTCGATGGCGCAACGTTGCATCTGCTCGTGCATTGCCATTTCCCAGCGGAAACGCTCGTTATATCTGCGAAACGCGGCCATGTAGCGTCTATGGCATATGTCAGCGCTTTGGCGGGAGGGTGAGAAAATTGTAAAATGTATTAAATCAACAGGAAATTGCAATTTTCACACAATTTGATTCGATCTTACGTACTAGGTGGGCTCCTTTTCGCTCGGCTGAGGCCTCTGGCCGAAGCCCACTCGCCTGGCAAGAAGCACACGATACCATTGCTTCTGCAACGTATTCATTGGACGCTTGAAGGGATTGGCATTGGAATTGGTATGGGTTTGTGCTGGGGCTGGGGCTGGGGCTTTGTTCGTCTCCGGCTGGCGTTTGGCTTTCAGCTTTTCCATTTCGCTTTGCTTTACCGTTTTACAAGTTTTCCGTATTAAGTTAGAGATTGCTTCCTTACCGTTGGGCATTTGCCAATGCACTGTGGAAATGTTGTTGTTGTTGTTTCGCAATTGTTGTTCCCTTGCCTTGTTGTTGTTGGTGTTGCCATTGGCGCCGTGTTGTCAGGCAGCTCCATGACGAGTTTATCGAACCAACATGGCAAATGGGTTACGCGGCATGGCTAGCAGAGATATATATGTATAGAGAAGGAGAGAGAGAGAGAGAGAGAGGGAGAGGACGAGGCAACTGTTGCATATGCGAATGCATTTTGTGTGTTTCAGCTGAATGTGGCATATCGTTCGCTTGTCTGCCGGATGAGAGATTGATGTTCTATAAATGAATAAACGAAATGCTTTAGTACTTTGATTGAGTGGGGCTAACAAGGCAACAGCAAAGCAGCGCAGGTTGGCTTGAGCTGAGTTTGATTGTGTTTACGTTTCTATTATCTACGATGAGGCTATTGCTTAGGCTAGACTGAAGCTTTTTAGTGGAATATGTTCATATAAATTATTTCTTTTTGATGCTATTTATGAGAACTTTAAGAGCACTCGACTATAGAATATTCTTAAGCGGAAATATATCTATGTATATTATAAGGGAGCAAGACTTAAGTAGTGAAAGGCATAGAGAGACGTTAAAACTAGTATAAACTTTCATTTGACACTCTTAAGTCTGTATACATTCCATAGACTATTTATCTATGAATCTCTGGATTTTTTTTCTATTTTGTACTTTTTTTTTTCTGCCTTATTTACCAATATTTTCCCAAGATATTGCAGACATTGTAGTAAATTCCAGTTTCTCCTCATAGTTGCACTCAACTACATATCTTGAGTTGAATGTATATTATTGAACTTTAGTGTCTGGCCTCTAGACGAATGCAACTTGAATATATAATGGAATAAAACATAAATATATAAGTATTTAACTAACTAGAAAGCAAAAGGCATTCAGTTGTCCTAAGCTCTTCTTCCATGAATAGCTTAAGACTTCAGATACTTTCAAAAATTCCAGCACAATATCAGTTTATGCTGATCTAGCCATAAATTCGTCTACTTAATATTGTCAACAAATGTTGCCCCAATAAATAGCAGCATATGTGCTTTGCTTATTGTATTACAGGGTATCCTTCACCCTACTTAATCAGCTAAATAAACACATTTTTCAGCTCTCCCCCTGGGCTAGCTTAATAACTTCTGGCTTCAGCTACTCGCATCTAATCACTTTCATATTTCATCGCAAGGGTTAAGAACATAAAGGACACTCGTGTTTGGCTTTCGGTCTTAGCTTAGAAAGTTTGACCCAGTCACATGCGACTGACAGACATTTTTGTTGCCCACCCGCTCACGTCCCCAAAAATAGGCCAACAACAGCAAAAGTGGGCATAGGAACAATATGCTATGGAGTCGAGTAGCGGGAATTGCAGTAAGAAGTCGCAGCTGTCACAGCTGGTGTCTGCCGTTGTCTCTTTGACTGTTCGACAGTTCGACTGTTTGACTGTTCGGCTGGCATTTTGCCGAGTCGACAACAAAACAAAACTATTGAACTGCTCGGCGGCGCCTGTCGTCGTTTATGGCTCGTCGCAAAAGGCAATCATAGAAATGTGCTCTAATTTAAAGTGCCATAAAACAAAAACAAAAAAATTGAAAAAAGAGTGTCCTGCTGGGGAGTTACCGAGTCAAAGATTACCTGTAATAAAAGACTCTAAAAAGACTTGGGAGATTGAATGTAGGTACTCTCTATATATACTATCAGCGGGCCTACAAGTCATGCTTGAGAGTCTTAGGTCCTTAATGTTAAGCGCTGTGTTTAAAAAATATAAGCTAGTTATCGATTCTTATCGATTTAAGGAGGAAAACTATCGATAATGAAAAGAAAAGGTTATAAATAAATAAAAGGTCAGACATACGGTTGCACGAACTGTAGGCTGAATGGTAGGTAGGGTAGACGGTTGGACGGACGGATGGATTGAATGAACGGATGGATGGATCGACTGACTTACAGGCGAAGGATTGAACGGGTGAACGGCCAGTTGGGTAGACAAGCAACTGAACAGCCTATAAGAATCATCTAGATCTTCTCAACTATCGATACAGAATAGAACATATATATTTTTCCTTCTATCGCATACCAAACCTATATACCCCACTTACCCCTACGCACTGGGCAGCAAAAACAACAGCCAAAGCAGATGTTCAGCCGCTGCCAAGACAGCATATGACACGAATTGAAACTGTTGCCAGAAACTGCAGTTGGCTAAAATGATTTCTATTTGTTTTTTTCCGTAATTTTTTACATTTTTTATGTTTGTTTGTGTTGCGAGCTGAGTTTGGTGCTTGGCTTTTGGTCGGTTCGAGTCGGGTCGGGTCGGGTCGTGCCAATATCAACATTAGTTGCCCGTAATGTCCTGAACTTTGCGTTGCTGCCTCTGTTTGTCTTTTATTTTATAGATTTCTTTTTTGTTTTGCTTGGGTCTCAGCTGTTGGCAGCATCGTCTTTGTCAGCGCTTATTGATGGCTGCCACGGCTAAATGTTTTTCAATTTATTTTATTTGGCAATTCTTTGTTATTTTTGTCCTCTGCTTGCGTGTTTTTCCATGAGCATAAAGCACTATACAATTTATTGGCGCCTCATGTCCGGGCCTCCACATATTATTTTGGCCTGCGCTGCGTATTAGCAATTTGATTGATGCAGCTACAAATTTTGCTGCATACTTTTAGGCTGACTCGTTCAAAAATCTCATGCGTGCGTGCATGCGTGTTAGAGCGAGACGACTAGCTGTTACAATGTGAGCACGTAGGTGCCATTAGCTATTAAATGGCCGTCGGAAGTTATTGAAATACCGTAATAAACATATTTGTCATACGATTTGAGCGGAGTTAAGCTCAATTATTTGAACGAAAAATATGGCAAAATATTTTATATAAGGATCTTTTTATAATGAGAAAATTTGACATGTTCTGCTATTATTAATATATATTTATTTATATATATTTATGTATATTTAACTTTAAGCGCTTTTATATATTGTGTTGAAAAAGAGACTTGAGATTCTTAATTCCAATAAGTCGGCATCACTGTCAATCCTGTAAAGAGCTTAGGCCATATGAAGCTCAACATTCTTGGCACATCATCTTCACGTATGCTAAATCGAATGCCTCTGAAAAGCGTTATACTTATCAATTAAAATTCTTAATTAATTAACAATATCTACTCATAGTTTTATATAAAATAAAACGAGCTGTAAATTCTCTAGTTGTTGTGCTTTAACTAAAATGAAACGTATTTAAAGTGTAGTAAAAATCATATCACTTATTTCACAAGTCAATCGATATGGACAGAGTGAAAATTATGAAGCTGCCTTGGCATATGGTTAATGAATCTTATTAAGCCAATAGCCCGGCCAATTAAGTTGAAAGCAAACAGTTTAAAGCTTTGAACTGTTTACGGAGCGAAGACAACGAATGACAAACTGCCAAACGAGTAAATGGATGAACGGATAAGCGACAGACAGGCAGACAGACAGACAGACAGGCAAAAGCTGGGCAAAGTTGATGGTATGATGGGGGCGTGGCACTAGCAAATGCACAATGAGTTGATAATCCCTAAGGCAAACAGACATGCAGAGAAGTCGTGGAGGCATATGAAGCTGGAGCCGGGTGGGGTTGCGTTGGGTTGGGCCTGTCTGGGAATCAGACTATGCATATAAGTATGCAAAAGCCATAAAGCAACAATAATAAACGCGCATCATCATCAGCGGTTGGTTTGTTGCTGCTGTCAGCAGAAAAGTATGAAATATCATCTAAAATAGGAAATGCGTAAATGCGAAATCCAACGCAACGGAAGCGCAGCTCAGCGTACGCTGATTCCCAGCGACACACACTCGCACACACACTCATTTATATAGCGAGTGTATGAAAGTCAATTTTTCATTTAGATAACTTTGACATACGCAAACGTCATGGCTTGCTTTAGCCCATGGCGCAGCGGGGTGAGTGGGGAGGGTGGTGTTGGTGGTTGGTTAGGGTGGGCGTAGCTGGGGCAATGCATAACGATTTAGATTGGAGTTCAGAACAAGTTCCTGACAGGCTGCTACTGATGGCGCCCAGTCGGGCACAAAGCGCCAAAATGCGGGCAACGTTTTGATAAATGAATATTCGACAAAGCAAAGCCGGCGAGTGTGAGTGTGCGTGTGTCTGTGTGTGTGTGTGAGTGTGTGGCTTAAATGAAATGTTAACAATTAAAAGCAGAAAGCACGAATCCAACAAGCGACACGAAAAGACTATCCAAATACATAATAAGCCGCTGAGGCTGTTTACACGCGCGTTCGCCTTAATACGCGGCGTATGCGCAATATTGCGATTATAAATTATGCTTGCTCAAACTAAGGGCTGCTGCTGCTTGTGTCTTTTGAGGGGTTGTGCGCTGCCTGTTTAGTGTAAAACTAAGCCAAACAATATTATGAGAGGCGCACAAGTGGCAAAAAGGGATAAGAACCCCAGAAAACCGGCTTCAAGTGGGATTTTCATTATTTGTACCCAGCCAAGCCATGTTTGTTGTCTTAGCTGCTGTTGTTGTTACTGTTGTCAAATGAAAACAAGTTATTTTGTATTTGCACAGCGCCTTACACATTGTTATAATCATAAAAAGTATTAAAAAGTAACAAGGGTGGAGCAATCGAGGGGGCCAGGTGGGTCGCTGCTGCCATTTGAAGTTGATTGCCCATTTTTGCGGAAGCTACACTTGTTTATCTACTTGAGACCCAATGTGAAGAACTGCTCGGAGGGTTGCACAATGGTTGGAGGTTTGCGGGCTTACAGAAGCCCAGAAGCAAGCATATTGTATGAGAATCTGGTCGCGGCTTGTGTACGAACATTTGCGCTTACGTTAG